ATAAATTCAATTTAATTCTTTAAGATACTTGGTATGGATGTAAAGTCAGCAGTACAAGTTAATCTTGTATCTAGAAATAAAGCACTCTAGTTTCTAGCTTCTTTAGATTACATCGAAGGACGTTTAGATTACATCGAAGGATGTTTAGCTATTTGTATTCTTTTTATATTCCCTTTTACCTTGAGTTAGGACAGAAAATAAAGTCAAAAGTTTGATATATCTAATTTATTTTTAATCACATTCGAATGTTACATGTATGATTATGATTACGTATGATTTAAAATAATAATTAAAATAAAAACAATAGATAAAAGTATATCATAACACTATAAATATAAATTTATTTTATTAATTTAATACTTATAAATGGTTACATGGGTTCATTTTCCAGTTTTGTCAATATAAGATCGACTCATAAGAAAGTGATTATTTTCTCAATGTTTACGGCAAACAATTGAACCACACAACTACTACACTACAATTTTATACAAGTACGCATTATCTTTATGGAATTTTCCTTGTTGCAGTACAAATACAATCATTACAATATTAAATTAAGTACGCATAATTAAAACAAAGCCCCCAAATAAGCATGAAGCGGCCAGTCAAGTCGACGACCCTGAGCATGGACGCCTCACAGTGCACATGTAATTTCCGCACTACGTTGCCTCACTACGAAACCATTTTAATAAATTAATAAATAGATGTCTATAGATTCGTCTTAATAGTGAGAGAGCTATAGACTACATGAGGACAGTGTAAAATCAATATGGCGGCCATAATTTGCATTACCTTGCAAAATTTTGTTGCCATTTTTATAACGTTGTCATATTTATTTATTAACCTATTGTTTTACAATAAAAATAGTGGAACAAACAATTTTATTTTAAATAATGTTATTTAATGATCAATATTTTATTTGATCTCTTATTAATATATTTGGATGAATTGTGCAAACAATTCTTAGAGCTGTTTCGTCTTATTGAAATTAACAGATTTGAATTAATACACATACATAAACAGAATAAAAAGTTAATATACATAACGACGAGATCTAATTTATATAAATCCATGTTAATACTTATTGTAAAAAGTGCGATGTTGTCAAATTTAAAAATTATAGTAAAATAGTAACAAATACACCTGTTAAGTATTTCATAACCTCTGTTCATATAGAAAAAATAGTAAACGATTAGGACGCTATGTCTAGAAAGTATTTCTTAATCTAAATATTTATATTAACAAAATATTATGAGCCTTACATTTCCTTATAATTAAAATATAATTATAGCTGAATATAAATGACAAATATTGCAAGTGAGCACATTTAAATATTAGAATAAAACAACAACTCATTATAATTTATAAATTGCATAATTATTCAATATATTCATAATAAAAACACGATAAATAAACATATATTAATAGTTTCCTGTAAAATTCGCGGAAGTCTACCAAAACAAAGACCTCGTATCGACGCAAAAGCTACCTTTTTCATATAGCGCGACGCACGCCAAATATTTTATTGACTTGATTATAACGCCATTATCAAGGTCTTTGACTCATACTAGTTTATTTTCAGTAGCTCTAGAGTCTAGAGTTCGTTTATCTTTGTTGACAAAATAGAATATAAGAGTATTGCACTCAAATAACCTCAAAATAGCAGTGGCTCGATTAATATACAACACAACAAATTTTTCTTTTAAAACACAACGAAGTGAATTAAAATATGTGATAAAGCCAGTATTTAATTTAATGTTTGTAGTAAAAAATATAATTCATATTTTATAGAACTCAGTTGCGATTTTATAAAAACCTAATTTAATAAAAAGTTTTATTATTTGATACTCTGAATGTCATTTTTTTAACAAACGGCGGAAGCGGAATGCTCATCCCCTACCGCGTTGCAAATGTGCTTGGTGAATATGAACTTGATTTGTTCAACAATCAACAATATTTAAGATCTTTATTAAACTAGACAGAAAAATAAAGGATAAAAGAAGAAGGGGGAGATCGAGAAATAACTACATAGAACAAATAAAAGAAACACTAGGAGTCATTTCATATAAGGAGATCAAAGATTTGGTCTGGAATAGAGCTGGCTGGAAGAGAATGCATGAATTAGTTGCCACAACAAGAGGAAACTCTTAAATAAAAAAAAAAACTTAAACATAACTATAAAAGATTTTTAAAGGTAACATAGTAATCTAGCCTAATGGAAAGCTAATAAATGTTCCATTTCCAATTGAATTCTAAATTCAAATCATTTTACAAGATCCGTTCATATTATTTTCTATGTATCTTATCGACATATAATAAATCAGTTTAAATACGGTTATACCATGTGTGTGAACACACCTAGTAGAAATAGTTGAATTGACGTGCGACAATGGTATGACTCAGTTCCTTATCAAAACGCGTGCTGCAATCCCGTACAACACTTTAATGTGATTTCTTTAAGATTATACGTCAATGTCAACGTACATGGCCATTTACGTAAATTAAAAATCCTCACGTTACATCAGGAATGTTATAGTCTATAAACTTGAGTAACGATTTAAAATAATATTTCCCCGCGACTTTGTCCGCGTGATTCTTATGTATGATAATACTATGGTAACTCCGTATACGCTATCGGTATATGCTATTGCTGGTGGGACAACAATGAGTGGTGATAGGTGAGTATAAAACCGGGTTAGTTAACCATTGTGATGGATTCAACAAGAATTAATCACTATGGTATCCAATGGAACCGCGTGGAGGTCGACCTTGCTAGCAATGGGGAATTACGTCCTTATTACTAATAATTCCTCTCCTCCTCGTCCGCATGATTAGGATATATTGATTGACCAGGATAAAACGGCAACTTATTTTATATTTCAAGTACTATGTACCAAACATGGTACATACATACATGTATTGTTTGAGCGATTAAGGCATGCTATCAATATATAGTATCAGAGTCTATACCCTAAATAACCCATCAGGGTTATCAATATCAACTGATTATAATTTATATTTGAAAATACCAGAAAAATACATAATTATATTGTTTGAAACATTCTCAGACCGATGATGTTTAGTTGGAACAAGTTCAAGGTATAATGTTACTAATTACATCAATATCTCAGATGCGAGTTCATTCCACTTCAATATAGTGTTCGATAACATTTTTTTTTTGTACTTTATCACGAAACATTTTTAGACATCAAAATAACAGCATACAGTTCATTACCCCCGGCTGATCTTACACGTGATATGATATCGGTCATATTGAAAATCGAAATATCTCTTTGAACAGCTGAGAAACCACAAAATGCTGATTATATAATACTAAATGGCGTACTATGGTTAACGGATTATACTTATTTAAACATTAATTTATACATAAGCCTCAATATAACAACGCAGTTTCCAGTTTTCCACACCATTTCATCTCTTGAATATCATAAAAGGTAGTTTTCACAGGCATCCAATAGGTAATATGCCCATCATTTTCCATGGGACGGAAGTTAATAAAATGACACAAACAAAGCAGCATAAAATATATTCTAATTATTTTTTTATTTTTATTTAAAATTGAATTACATTTTACTCGTTTCATATATTTACTAAGTACTGCAATCTATAAATAATTTAATCACGTGGTCTATTTACTATCAGTGAATAATGTTGCTGTAGTGGTAAACTTCACGCATTTTATTTTCGTAACGTATTACTCGTACTATAGCGTATGTTTATCGACATTATCAATAGCTATAAAAGTGTATTTCTTTATGAATTAAAGTCAAATGTTATTTTAATTCATAAAAGTTACCTAGTCCCAGTTTGACTCTCCGTAAGAAATTTATATAGAAATTATGATTATAATATTAAGTATAAGTACGTACTAATAAGTGCCCTTTTCTAAGAGGATAGGAGGAAGAACAAGCCAGGTAATCGTCGTAAAGGACCTATTATGAACATTTAAATTATTATCCGTCTTGCGGATTAAATTAAGCTGCCTTGCAAATTCATATTAAAATAAAATAGGTCAGTTTGTAGTCACGTGATTTAAACCAAACATATTTTTAGAAGCCTCTAAGTACCTGATAAGTACCTGAGCCATAAAAATGATAGGCAAAAAATTAAGGCCAACTTACCGTTAAAAAAAGCGGCAAATATTCTTTCGCTAAATTATTGGATATTTTTCTTCAATATTACTATTATTATAGTAGCTGTTAACTATCCACTATCGAACATAAGTCTTCCCCATAAAAGGAGTTTTGCCAGTAGTTGCTACATTTAGCAGGTGGATTGGCAATCACAGTTAGGCTTTGGTGGTGTTTTAAGAGGGACGCTGCTGCCCATTCCTCGGCCATTAAGGTCCATTAGTCACCACTTACGACGCCCACGGGAAAGGAAGGGATGACCTATTCTATACCGAGACCACACGTAATTATTATCTTTTTACAAAATGTAGAGTAATATTTGCGTAGGTGCACCGTACTCAGCTCAATCAAAGAAACTCACTTTTAAAAAGTAGTTATAGTGACGTGAAAAGAAATAAGTGATATTTTATTATCAAACTCATAAAATCATTGCGTAGATGAAATTCTGAATTTAAATAAAACAGGCGATCGGTCGCGCGTTCGCGTATACTGCTCACATCGATGTAACTGTGATAACATCTATAGAATTTTAAAGAAAACATTTTGAAATTTACCTTGTTATGTACGAAAATTATACATCGATTTCTGGGCCATATTACGTTGATCGGCCTGATATGATACCAGGTTATAGTGAGTTAATTTCATCATAATCATACAATAATTACTTTTGCTAATTATTATAGTTAGATACTTAAATCTGTAAGAGATAAGAAAAATACATTACAAATTAGTTAAACATTTCGTTAGGTATATTCTCTAGAATTTTAGGCTTCTAATTAGGTTCAATAATGAATTTGTATATAAAATATTAGTCATATGAATTAACATGTATTTCTGTTTTGTCCGCAGGAATAATGACACTCAGCCGCGGCCCGTGTGACCTCGACAACATGAGTCTGTTCCAAGACCTCAAATTAAAGAGGCGGAAAGTTGACTCTAGATGTAGCAGTGATGGTGAGTGCACAAACATTTTTTTTTCTTTTAAGATAATTAATTTTTAATTAAAATCTGATATTGTTTATATATTCAAATTATTAATTTATACATTCAATAATCGAAACTTTATGCAAAATATTTCGATCATGAATGCGACCGAATCTTATTCATAAAAGAATCGGTCGCTAAGTAATGCCTAAAGCATTTTCTGTATATGTTTTTTATAAATACGAAAAATTATATATAATGAAAAAGAGTGCGCAAAGTTTTCTAATTTCTTACTAATAAAAATCAAAGTATCGGATTTAACGACTCTCAAATAATTAACTTCCTGCAATCTTAGTGAATAATTTGAGATTTTTTTTTTTGTGAAATAGATAAAATATATTACGTTTTGTAATACAGTTATGCAAATTGTGAAGTATTGCAATAATTACCCACGAAGTGAATGAGAGCTCAATTATATTGTGTGAGGTAATAAAACCATTACTTTGCTTTTTATAGTCTTTAGGGAAATAGTTTCAGATAATCTCAAAATTATTGCTCGAAATTTTCAAATTGACACAAAACACTATTTTAAAATCTGCTATAACCAGTATACTCGATTCAAAAGTATTTTATTTAAATAAATTATTAGTATTTCAAGTAAAATGCAACAATTTAGGCCGCGTTTTTGATAATTTTACTTTTAAGTGATTTCAAAAAAGTAGACTGTTCTCAATTCAATCCAGACTTTTTAAAATTCGAATTTTTTTCTTACTGTAATGATATTGTCAAGATTTCGTATACATTTTTTATATTCATAATAAATTCAATAATATATTGTACTCATTATTCTGCTTTAAATTAAATTTAAATTAACGTTTACTTTATAAATCAATAAATAACTTAAAACCTTTAAAATTTTAAGCAGAAGGTAGACAAATATTGAAACATATATTCGTATAATTATTTTCATCGTGGTAATGTTAACATCTTAGTATCATAGTAAATTTAACACATTTAAAGAGTTACTTTTTACTCGTAGTAAATACCTTACTGCCAGTCATACAAAACATGTAATGACTTACACTTAAGGTTAATGTTACAGAATAAATAATTTAAACTACATAAAATGTCTGCATACGACTACGTATTATTATTCTAGTTGCATTTCTATCTATCATTGTCACTCTTTGCACGATTCGCTGTCACTTTCGACAACGACAGTGAATTCACATAGTCGTAATGTTATCGTTTCGTGGTCTTTTTTCATTACGTATTAAGAAACTTTGAAAACAAATTGTATGTGCTCCTCAAAAACCTGTGTTAAATATTTTTTGAAAAAGATCTAAAATGTAAATGTGAGTTTGTTTATTTATTGTCTTTTGATATCTTAACATTACATACGTATACTTGTACATGTACGTTTTGTATTTTGTATATTTAACCCTGGTCACGTGGATGAAGTAACTTATAGAAACAAGTTTAAAAAATAAAAAAAAAGTTCCATAAATTATCGACTTCAATATTAATAAAAGTATTATGAAACCAGTAAATCCGTTCTATTAAAAATACACGTACAAAAGTTGTTCCTATTTTTGGTGCATGCAAATTGATAATTGAAGTCAACGGACTTCTAAAAATGTAATTTAAAATAGATAGCAATAATGTTGTGTATTTTTAATAATACTATAAGAATAATTGGAGTTATTGAAGATTCGAGGTTATTTTCTGTTCTTATGACAACCATCATCATTATCATTTCAGCCTGTATCTATCTTCTACTTGAATGATATCTACTCATCATATATGAATAAATATATATATAACTTTTCAAATATATATATATTACACATATATGACATATACTATATTATCTATCTTCTACTTGAATGTATCTACTCATCTATGTATCTACTTTTCTGCTTTTCGCATCGGAAATGCCGATGATCTTCTTAATTTCATCTGTCCATCTAGAAGAAGGACGCCGCACGCTATATCGTCCTATACGCGGCCTCCCCTCCAAGACCTTTCTCTTGACAATGCATTATGTAATACATTCAATAAGTTTTACTTAAAAATCTATATCTTTAAATTAAATTAATCATGAATAACAAAAACAAATCTGATAAAAAACATATCATATTACACAACAGAAAAAAAATAACGTAAACGAATTAGTATTTGATAATCGCCGTCATCTGCCGAAAGTTGAATAATCCGACGACATAACGAGAGAAGTGAACAGGTTTCGAGAAATGCCGTAACTTTCACTCGCTCTGTACAAAAGTTCCAAAACGAAGTCCGGTTTCGCAGTCGGCAACAATGTCGTGCAGATTATGAATAGCGGCTATAATCTCTATAAACGACCGTTACAATGCGACAGATGGATTTTCCTTTTTGTCTGATTGCTATCTCCCTATTAGTGATTTATTGTTATTGATTTAAATGAAATATTGTTCGATTTTAAGAAAAATAGCGTCCCACTCTGACTTCGTGTGGATGCAATTATATACTTAATGTAATTAATTAGAATTAACTTCCGTAAAAAAACATCTAAATGACAATGAAGCCCGTATCAAAATTCGTTGCTTTAGAAAAAGTAAACGAAGAAACAGACAGACGCCGATAGCAATTTTGTTTTATACTATTTTGAGATAATAAATGTTACATATGAGACAATAAAGGGTATAAGTTGGATTAAAAATAAAACTCCTTCTAAAGAAATAATTTTAAGTCATCCATGTGTACCTCTATTACACGATGGAGACGTCGTGTTTCATTAGTTAAATAAACGTACTTAGACTCCTGTATTTTAGAGACACAAAACCCTAATCTTTAAGAGAGACGAAGTTATAAGCTACCTTGATTCTCAGTCGTCATAGTCACAAATAATAAATTACAATTATCATAGTATATTCTGTGATTATTATAGGGATTTTTTGCGTTTATAAATAATCTAAAGTGTTTGTTAAAATAATCTTTAGAAAAACAGTTTAACTGTTAAAATTGTTCAATATTCAAACGATTTTCAATTCAAAATTTGAAATTGGATATTTCAAAAATTACACTTGCTATTCTCCATATACGATCACAATTTTTTTTTCTAAGAAAATTAGTAGAACTATATTTTTATACTATCAGTCAAATCATCCGCTAGACATAGCCACGAACTAGTCTTGATATAAGAGATCTGAACTGTCAAGATAATAGATGTTTATTAGTAGTTAGATAAAGACATACGTCATTTTTAATACAAACATTGACCCTGCCAACGTAATAACAAATTAAATAGATAATTATATCACAGATAAATTTTATAATAAATAGTGATGAATCGCGGAAACGAAGGTGCAGTATTGCTTGTAATTAAGGTTTAATTTACTATTGTGTTTGTGTATAGTATCACTAAGAAGAATGGATTCTAATTTCCAACCCTTACTTAATTCTTATTATTAACTTTTCCCTAAAAAGAAAGCTGTGGAGAGACAAACCACATAATGAATCTATGTTACTTAAAGGATATTTAATATTAAATCGGAAGCAGTAAAGCCTGAAAAATACTAACAATACCTCTAAAATAACCATCCAACTAATTACATTACAAAGGGCCATTTTATAAATTCATAATTTTGTATATAACTTGATATCAAAGGGTGCCACCCTCGCCGCGTGAGGGTCACACGAAAAGCAGTTTTGCTACTAAAAAGTTATCTGATACTATACCCTCGTCAAATGCGGATTATAATTACGTGGTATATTAGAAATTTACCCAATATTCTTTTCATTTCACGTCGTTCAGAGTCTATTATTATAAATGTAATGACTGTAGAAAATATGGACTCCCGTAATGTATTATTTCAATAACAATTATTATTTGTAATTAATGACCCGTTTCAAATCTTATCAAAAAGAACCCTAAGGTTTTGTTATAGTATTAATATTGGCATAACACATAAATAAAGCGTCGCCATGTTATCTATCCTAAATATCATATCCTCATATCGTATCGAATTACAAATCTAAAAATACTATTCGATACCAATTACGTAATAGTGACGTATCGCGTGTAATCACAACGAAGAAAGTTTACGTAAACATAAAGGTGAAAGCAATAAATAATGTTGTCGTAATTATTGCTATTGTGGCTTCATGAATAACGCATGAGAGAAAGAATCACTGCCATGTAACATAACGTTTAGTCGAAGGCGCTCACAGCCGAGTCAAGATGAATGGTGTTATTATGTATCAAGATCAGAAAAGAACAAGAATAAATTATAATGTCATTATATATTTACGCCGGATTTTGAAAACAAATTAACATCCTTGTTACTAAACTCGTATTTTTATCAATTTATCTTTTCTGACATTAATGCGAAAAGTATAGAAGAATTTATCTTAATAAACGAAAACTTCATTATTTTTAAAACAACGTCAAAGGTAGATCTTTTCCAGTATGTACGATTATCACTTTCCATCAGGTGGGCCGTCAGCTTGTTTGCCATTCTAAATTGTATAAAAAAATTTAAATTTCAGCACGCAATAAAAACAGCCATGTAATCGTATAGATTCAGATAAATCTTATTAACGGTATCGTGTGACGGTACCTAGTACACGCGAAGTCACGTGACATGTGACCGCGGGGGTGTGACGTGCGGTGACGCTGCCCGCCGTCACTGTGACGCCGTGACGCGTCCTGCTCTTAACGTTACACATTTTCTACGTGCGTAGTTTACTCAGGCCTTTTGTTGTCAGGACGATAACCTCAACGAAATTGAGGGCCAAGTTTGGAAGATTTTCAAAGTCCTTTAGATATTTAAGGGACTTGACTTTGAAAATCAAGTCACTTACGCCACCGTCACTCATATGGGGGGCGCCTATATCTAATTTTAGCTTCTGCTGTAACCAACCTGTGCTCAGATTTGTATGGCTACATTTTATTTTAAAGGGTTCATATAATGTCAATTATTGAGTACGAAATATATGAAAGCCCAGTACTTAAGAATGACAACATATTTAAATATATAAAAGTACTATGGGTGTCATAGTATATTACAAGTCTGTTGATTCGAAATTGTATTTTTTATGGTATATAAATATATGACAATTTGTACTTACCATAGAATAACATTAAAACTAATGGCGCATCTGATGAATAAGTATCGCCTATAAATATGACGCCCATAACATTTCTCATACATAGCCACTGTTATAAAAGTTTTATCTTACGATTTAAACTGAAACAAAAACACACTGCTACATAACGACAAAAATCATTATAACAGGTAATAAACTAAAAATGAATTGATAAATTATTTACATCCTAAAAAATACAAAAGTATAAAATTTAAACAAATTCCGTTAGATGGGCTCTTCTTATGATAACCGGCGGGCCGATTTACAATATGCTAACAATGTATGATACCGTATTGTCTTACGTAAACGTTCTGACTTACCCGACACGCAGACCGCGTGTGGCAACGAATTATCCGTATCGTAACGATATAATTATTCAATCGACTTAATTGATTTTATGAGCGCGTGTTCAATTATGAAAGTAAATTCGTCAATTACTCAGGAAAGTATTATCATAGCGTATAGATATGCTCTGCTAACATTAAGATTTAATTGCAAATATGTTATGGCTTTGCCTACGTTAATAAAATTAATCAAGGTAGTTTTATATATATATATATATATATATATATATATATATATATATATATACTAAGTCCTAGATAAACTCTAAGTTTTTATCTAGGACTTCGTCTGTACAAAGAATCAAATTGCGATATACCATATATTTACATATCTTTACATTTATAACAGGTAATTAAATGAGTTATTTTGGGACGAAAGCTTGACGTGATACCCTGCCTTAGCTACACGTGGCGTCGCGATGCTTGGGTTGACGCTGGCACGCAGGGTGGCTCGGGCCTGGGGTGTGACCTAGTTTCCGCCGAGTCGGTGACCGCTCGCGACCTTCGGGCTTGCAACGATCGAATAAACGCCCGCGATCAACTGCCTCCAAATAAAAGTTGCATGTTACGTAACACTCTGTATTGTTGTCTACCTACAACGCGCCGCGCTTCATTCTCTCCATGTTCATATTGTTTAGAAAATAGGCTGAAATTTGAAAATTTGCCAATAGGTGTTTTGACATACCGTAGCCGCCATTCTCTTAGGCCAGTTACGAGTAACAGCTAATGGGTTTTTAAGTACGTAATCGATATTCACTTACGAAAGCCCTTTGAGAAATTTAGTCGGCTTTCCTAGGTGGCCAGTTAGCATTGCTAACATAACGAGCGGCAATCAAAACGGGACATTTATCTAGGCGACCGAGCCTACCTAGAACCTAGATTGCATCACGCGGCTAGAAAGATCGGTCCCCACCAATGATGTGGCAAAGGACGTGAAGTGAAATAGAGATCGTCCTCGAAGCGAGAGCGGTGCACGCGTTGCACTAGTCATTGTGCGGTTGCACTTCGCACGCACGGCCGTCTGGGTGACCTAATAGCGGCTGGAGGGAGGGACCGGGAAGCATACTGCGGGGAGCGGGGCGCGACTGTTCGTGTGGTAGGTCGGGCTCACTGCGCGCGCCCGCCGCCCGCCGTCGCGCCGCCGCCAGTGGAAAACTTTCTTCGTGACTTTTCCTCCCGAAAATGAAACCGCGAAAAAATTGCGCTCGCGCTTTTACGTCATACAGGTTCAGACAGGCTTACCGCGAATGACGTCGTAAAGGATACAAATTAACTTACTCGTCTTTCACGAAATATAACCTCGCGAACAATTATGTGATTATTATAAAGCATTTCGGGCGTTAATGGACTGAGAAAGTGTTTTACAATGTAAGCCGGGCGACGGAGAGGGTAACATCGCCTATGGATTTAGTAATAAAAAGTCGGTAAAGTTTCTAATTTTGTTTATCTATATGTCGTTGAGTGTTTTTCATCATAAAATATATAAAAAAGTAGTAAACTATTGTATTCGTGCTTGTGAAAAATATAAAACATACAAGTATATTGCAGTTATAATATCAGGGTGTGTATTTTGTTTTTACTATATTTTCTGTGTCGATATTTGTGTATTGCGATTTTATTTTTATACAATCCGCGTACAATTGTTTGACGTAGAGCCCTTTGTGATGTTGGTGCGGTCCAAGCGTATGCTTCCGTGCGTCGCATCTGCGCTCGCGGCGCTTTCACTTTCTCCTCGCACGCCGCGCCGCATCTCACACTCGCGTTCAGCGCGACCTACAGATACGATTCCTCCATAATTTGTTCTGAATAAAACATCCAATAAATATCAAAAGTAAATACTGTATACTTTCATCTGAAGTCGAATTTCATCACTATACTGCTGAATCATAGTTCGTTTCTATATATAAATTATAGTTTTTTGTCTCCTAATAGTGCACTCACATAAACTACAGTTTTCTATGGCCGCGGTCGCCGCGACGCTCACATGGTGACGCAACCGGCTAATCTAGTCGGCGGCGTCGGGAAGTGCAGTGTCGCGTCCCCGCGTCGCGCCCCGCGCGTTCTAACTACGATCACGGCGCGCGGTCATTGACATTTCACCTAGTTTCTAATTGTTACTTTTGAAAACTATGCAGTGCTCTTTTTCATTTTCATAAAAGTGAGATCTTTTGTCGCTTGTATTAACTAAGCATTCTGTGTTCCCAGGCGAGTCAGCCGCTGATACCAGCACGTCGTCGCCGGACCCAGGCCCGCCGTCGCCGCGCATGGCCGAAGCAGGGTGCAGCACGCCGCCGCACCCTCCGCCCGTGTTCGACGGCGGCGGTTCACCGTTGCCATCGTCCGCTTGCCACCCCACCGTAATTCGCTCTGCGCCGCCATATTCTGTCATTAAGTTTGAGGGAGCGCCTTCTGCCATTAAAGTAGAGAATCAAACCCCACTCAAACATGATGCACCTTCGCCATCTCAAGTTTCCTCTGTGAAATTAGAGGGCACGACACAGGATACACTTCAGCCGTACAGGCCTCGAGCGCTTGCTCCACCTCCCGGATCACATTCATCCTTAACACCAGGTCCATGGCCACCGGCTGCTTGTATCAATGGTGTTAAACCAGAGCTTATAGGTGGTCACTTTCCAACGCAATCTCTAGAGCATAAATCAGGAACGAGAGGGCCCACGCAATGGCGGGGAACGCCGGCAGTCATCATGGGGGAATCAGGTGGAGTCCGGACAATGTTTTGGACGTTACCAGCCCCTACTACCAGTGGAGAACCCGCAGCAAGTGCTTCTCATACACCAACACCACCTACTCCAGATCCCAGTACTTGCAGTGAAGAATCTGCAGCAAGATTACTTCTCAACCTTGGTGGTGATCTTAGGCGACCACGAGGACCACCGTTAAATATGGAACTTCTATGGGCTGGTGACGTATCGCAACTTCCTGCACATCAGCAGTTACATGCGTTAAATTTAAGTGCAGCAGCTGGAAACCTACCTGGTGGATCAGCGGTTGCAGGAGCTAGCTCATTAGCTCTTCCGCGACCTGAATTACGTGCTTATGCTCCTGAAGTAGAACGTGATGAAGACGAACAACCTATGATCTGTATGATATGTGAAGATAAAGCGACGGGACTTCATTACGGTATTATTACGTGCGAAGGATGCAAAGGTTTCTTTAAACGGACTGTACAAAACCGACGAGTTTATACGTGTGTCGCCGATGGTGGCTGTGAAATTACAAAAGCACAACGGAACAGATGTCAATATTGCCGATTTAAAAAGTGTATAGAACAAGGAATGGTTTTACAAGGTATGTAATATGAATAACAATGCAAAATTTAATAAAGTAATGAACAATATAGTGTTTATAAATATTTCATTACTTTTGTTGCAGCTGTACGAGAAGATCGGATGCCAGGTGGACGCAACAGTGGTGCTGTCTACAATCTGTACAAAGTAAAATATAAGAAACATAAGAAAGCAAACAAGGCAGCAACGGCGACGAGCCGGTCTTCGCCACCAGAAAAACCTAAAGAACCACTACCACCGATCCCACCGCACCTTGTTAATGGTACCATACTTAAGACTGCACTTACCAATCCTAGTGAGGTAATATGCTCCATATGAAAATTTAGAAAAAAAATATTTAGTATAAATTATTCTCCTATCAACTATAAATAATATTTTGCAGGTGCTCCATCTAAGAGCGCGGCTTGAGAGTGCTGTGTCATCATCTCGAGATCGTGCTGTACCTTTAGAGAGGGCATTACAGATGATCCGAGCACTAATCGACTGCGATGCGATGGAAGATATAGCCACCGTTCGACATTTACCAGACTTACTCCATGATACATCGGAGATTGGGGATAAGCTTTGTAAAATTGGTGATTCAATTGTCCATAAAATGGTAGCGTGGACGAAGAAACTTCCGTTTATCATGGAAATACCTATGGAAATCCACTCAAAGTTGTTAATGGAGAAATGGCACGAGATCTCAGTCTTAACGACGGCGGCTTACCAGGCGATGCATGGGAAGCATGCACACTGTCCTCCCACTTCAGACCACGACCACGATGTTATGCAAGAGGTGAGTACTGCTTCCGTATTAAAATTAGCATTAACGGTATCGTTAAACTTTTAGAAGTATTGGGTCATTAGATCGTTATAAATGTAATATATTAGTTCCCAATAAAATTCTAGTTTATCTACCTAGAGTGAGTGTCTAAGTAGACTCCAGGTCACACTCGCTCCAGAGACTTCCGCCATATGCACCGGAGTGCAGTTACGTGATCTGCATCGACGCTTGCGCAACCGCGTAGAAAGTCGCCGTTTGCGCTTGCTAGACTTGCTGCACTCGGACGCAAACACATTTACTACATAACCTGTGTTAGAATCGTAAAATAATACATTACATCGTGCTTATCTATTCTTAACCATTCAGCGAATGAATAGAAATTGTTTCCAATTATTATTTATGATATTAGAAATCAGATGTAAGCCAAACTAAGTCGTGATAATTAAATCATCTATATGTACGAGTATATTTTGGATGTGTGCTTAGTATTTACAATACAGAATATAATATACTCGACTTAGAAAGTGCTTTAATTTTTATTATTATTATTTTATTGTAAACATACAATTGCAGGTTGTAAATTGCTAGGATTACATAAACTACTGCGGTGCGGTAATACGGTAGTTACAGAATGTAATTTTCATTGTCTAGAGCAGTTCCTTTTAACTTACATGTTCGTGATTACATAAACTACACGTTCATATTCAATTTTACGTTATCCATCGTTGGCTTTACATATTATTATATTAATTATTTTATAAAATTTATGTTTTTTAACAAACATGTGAAACCAATTCGTTTTGAAAATTTATAAGTATTTAACATTTATATAGTAGGTTTATTCTTCACTGGTTACCAATAATAGACACGAATAAAACACATATTTTAGTTATAGATTATATGTATGCCTATTGCAAACTCTATTTTATAATGCTGTCATAAATAATGCATTATATTTTACTTGTTTGCCATTCTAAATCGCATAAAAAATTGTCTATCCATCATTATGCTAGATCTTTTATAGAGTAGATAATAATATCGATATTCTAGGCTCACGTAACTTTTACTTATCCTTACTACTAGTATTATAAATGTGAAAGTGAATTTGTATGTTTGTCTATATTTTGTCACTTTATTACCTTTTGGGGCTTCAAACAGTTGTCACGAAATTTGATATTCATGTATTAATTAAGATGGAGAAGAACTTACGTTATATTTTTATCCCAGCTAATCAAAATATCCCGGTCACACAAACGTAATCGCGGATTTAAACTAGTAAAACTATAAAGCTACTTTTCCACCAGGTTAACGCAAACTTACGAACCCTGCAAAACTGCCTAACCTCGTTGATGGGCAGGCCCATAACCTTAGAGCAGCTCCGGCTAGACGTGGGCCTCGTCGTGGAGAAGATGACACAGATCACGTGCGTCTTCCGGCGCATCCAGCTCAGGATGGAGGAGTACGTGTGTCTGAAGGTCTACATACTTTTAAATCAAGGTATGTCATTTTAAATACCTACTTACATATATTTACCTCCTTTCTTATTAAAACCATGATATGCTGTTCAATGATCAATTTGACATTTAATTTAAATCGATACAAAAAATATTTGCTTTATTAATTATCGTTAGATTTTTTTAAATAAGATTATCTTCTATTATTATCTTCTCATTTCTTCTTATTTAACTGAAATTGAAATCGAAAAATTGATTATATGAAAAAAATGTCGTTCTTAAATGTGTACAAAAAAAAAATACGAGAGAAACGGAATAAAAACAAACCAACTAAGAAACTGTTGAACACGTATTTATTGAATTCCGTGATTATGTTACGTTTTAAGGTCTTTACTTCATTATTTACGTCTTTATTCATTTAAATTGTAAGTTAAGAAGTTATCAATTTAAATTAAATGAATCAATTCAAAAGTTAGAGACACGGGGTTGTTACTTTAAAAGTATTGATCCTATATTAATTGCGTAATTAATTGAAATCACCCAAATTGTTCTTCGTGCAAAAAACCTTTGATTAATAATTAACCAATAAGCATTGATTTTTTAATTACATAATACAAATATTTTTCAAGTATTAATATACATATGTAGATTTTAAATAATGATTTGTAATATTTTTTGCTCCGCCAGGTAGCATATACATAGTTTTTTTTTTTTTTATTTTATAATTAAAATAAGAACAAATATTCAATTATTTCCTGTAAACTTGTCAAGTCAAACTCGTTTATTTTATCATTTATTATCTAAAAACTCCAAATTAATGTCAGCGTTAGTAACCTTTTAATTTTAAACTGACAAAAAATGGACTGATTTAAGACTATTCTATAATAAAATTTCCAATGGATAACCTTTCAGCGGTTTGCTGTATTAAGGTCGTTTATTATTTAGGTTATTTAAACAAAGAAAACATTGCTTATTACTAAAAATTTTATAATATGCATAAATATATTGTTATTTCAATTTAATGCGGTCTTTAATTTTGTTTTTATGTCTATTTTTTCATATTAAATATTATAAATATATAATACAGATTATTAAATTAATTTACTTTAAAAATATTGTAGGCTTTTAAGACTCACAGTCCAAATTATCCATTTAGATATTATTAATCCAATGAACTCCGACCTTATAACCTGTCGATAGTTTTAGAGAAGTCATACAAATTAGTTTTTAAGTTTTCAAATTATACTATCCGTTACATTATACGAATATTATTTATCTAATAATGGTATTATTTGGAATAAGGAAACACAAGGTGGGCTACTTTTTATCTTAATATGGCTGATAAAGTCGCAGGAATATCTAGTAATAAATATTTAAAAAAAAATTAACAAACTTTCCTGTGAATAATGACCTAATTTCATTAAACGTAGTGATACAAAACATATCCCACTCAGAACGTCAGCGAACCCTGAAGAAGGAGATCGCTTCATTAGTTTAGCATGTCAACGCACTGTGGGAAGTAATCCGGTTACGCTGGACAGGGAATATGGTAGGAATGCATCGCCTGGGTTCATATAGGTCACCTCCGGTTCTGCTGTACACTCATAACCATTTCTGATTTTATTCTGATGTAACATAATCCAGGCATTTGTTTAAAGAAGTTGTTATGTTAACAATTTTGCATATTATTGCTTTATTTTAGCTATAATTAACAGGGATGAATAACCCACAGTTCATGTAGGTCAGTTCCAGTTATGTAACATAGGCGTACAATGTAACGTTTATACTGACTCATAATCGTAACACACGTAAAGATCTCTTGCTTTAGTGTCTAGTTTATGGAATTAAATATTTGATCAATGTATAGTTGCAACAACAATATTTTTTAAGAAATAACCAAAAGACTATTTTGTATTTATACTGTAGGGCAAATAGGTAAATTTTGAAATTGATTTAATTCAAATATTTATTTAATATATATATTTATTTAATATTCCGTTTATACAAAACATATATCCAACTCTACAAACAAAAACCTATGATATTTTATTACACTGAAAATATGAAAGCAAACTAATGTTGAGCCTTAAAACGGCATTAGGCAACGCGGTTGTACAATATAAGGCGAGTTACAAGAAACTCATGACTTCACCAATGACTTCATTCGTACGGTATTAATTTTACGATTAATATAAACATAATTATTTTTAATTATACTCAATATTGATGTACAAAAAAATTGCAATCAGAGATTAAAAAGCGACACGGGTTATTCTATTAAATTAAATTCTTTCAAATCGTTTATTTTATATTGTAAAATAAACGATAACGATATAAAAGCATTTATATTATATTGTAAAATATGATGAAAAATACACTAAATTTAAATAATAACATTTCGTAGACTCTACTCATATCATATTCTATGATAATTTGCTTTTTTTGTATTAAGTATTTATATGTAGTGCTTTCGTATATCAATGCTTTTATAATATTATTATTATAGGAATATTCAATCTAGTATCTCAATACCAACTTTAAGATTTATTCTTATTATTGACGGTTATTCCTTTCCATCAAGTGGGCCGTCAGCTTGTTTCTTTTTTCAAATATTTCTTTTTGGCTTTTATAAGTTGCAGTAACTCATATCTGAAACTCAATAATATTTCGTAAACTTGACGAATTCAAATTCATCTGTAGTTTCTTTGTAATGAATAATATGCGTGTAATTTATGAATTTTAGCCGTGTCATTACTAACATAGTTAGAGCTATTTCAACTAAAATACGATAATGACAGCTATGCTGAAGTCTGCGCAAATTATATATCATAGATTTTATGATCTTATGTAACGGTTTATTTTATTATAGAGTATCTTTATACCGTATTAACAACGTAGAGTTAAAATCAATTAAAATGTAGTGTTTCATAAATAAATCTATTTAATATATATATATATATATATATATATATATATATATATATATATATATATATATATATATATATATATATATAATTACTAGTCTGAATAATAGGTATATTTTTCTATTTTACAGAAAAGTAAGTACATGCAAACTCTCAACTATTCGCATGTAAAATTTGAGAAAAAATAAGCCTTATTTTTATTTTTTTACTTTTTTAAACACTTTTATAAATATTAAATGTATATTTCTGTTATTATAATAAATATAAAGAGTAGAAAATACGATATATTATTTTTTCAGTCATGTTTGTAAAAATTTATCAAGTCGACTTTTATAGGTTCTACTCGTATACTAAATGTTAAAGAAACCTAAAAACGATGAGACTTTAGTTACAAAGTAAAGAGAGGTTTTGAAGTTTATAATATTTATAATACTGATGGATTATTCTTACTAGTATTACAAATGTGAAAGTGACATTATTTGTTAGCGCCTTAACATTTCCAACTAATTGTAATGAAATTTAGCATATAGATAATAATTGACATAAAAATTCATATGAGTTACTTTTATTTCTGTCAGTACACATCTGATTACATATAACAAAAAAAAAACATATTTGTTAACAACTCCACTTGACAAGTTATGTATACGAAGATATGTGACAAACGGCGATACGACCGAAGCAATTCGCTCTTTAATATTATTATGATTTACGATACATGTAACCCAGTTGCAAGTCGTGCTGCGAGAGTCCATACGATTGCGAAATCGATTAGGAGTTCGAACTCGGGCGAGTTGATAACATTTTCACCGGCATTATTGCTCAGTTTCGAATCGAAATGAAAGTTTCGAGTTCATTGGTAACTCCGTAACAAGTACTGCTCTTATAGAATCTACACAATGTAATTTTCTATGGAAACTTTATTTGAAGTTGGAAGGCACCAATTTGTTCTATGACCTACGTAGGTACAGAAAAATAAATAGTGTGAGACTTGACAATTCGACTGACTTGAGCAATGATTCAATGCGTAGAAAGGATAGCAGATATAATCCTTAATTTATTATATAACGGAAGTTTGTGTAATATAGTACTTATATCTCTAATATTTTTTTATTGTCAATGTAATTTTTATTATTTTGTCATCTTTCTTGCTTTTTTATTTAATATTTTAACGTATCAAAATCTATAAATAAATATATCTTCACGTTCACATCTACAAATTATTAATTTGAAGAAGTGTAAAATTTTTTTCTCGAATAATTTGATTTTTAATATACATCCTTTACTTTCAATAATTCCAAATTACACATCTTTAACAAAATGACAAATACGACCAACTATAAAATGCAAACTAAGCTGTCTACAAAATGAACTCAATGCATGTAAATTTCCTATTGATAGATATATGACTAATGATTGAATATATTATATTTTACAATAGTGCAATAGTAACGTCCTAGCACTAGTATTAGGGAAACTATAACATCCTGCGTTATCGTGAACTGTAACTGGGTCGCCCGCACGCGCTATGTTTGAAAATTATTTTCACTGCGTTCGCATTTATATTGCACTATTTATCAAACTATGAAAGCATTAACTAATCATTGTCGTCGGTACTAAAATATGTCGACGATAATACTATGATAGTAGCATCCATATCTTCATATAACGTGAAGGAACTGCATGATTTCTTTTTGTAAAATTAACCATGCGGTAAACATTAAAATATGAGCAAATACCTTTCTTAGTACTTATATAAAAATAAGTGGTAATCATAGCGGTAGTAATAGTTTGATTATTAATCAAGATATTTAGATTGACTGAAATAAAAAGTAACTTAGATTCTTTTTCATGCCAGACACTTCATTGTCGTATCAGTCGTTGTCTGTCCACTGCTGAACCTAGGTAAATGGTACCTATCATAAATTGGAGGGTTTTGCCAATAGATGCCACGCTTGGCAGGCGAGTTGGTAACCGCAGTTAGACTTTGGTGATGTTTTGAATTTGATTTAAATAGATCCAAATATACTGGTGTTATGCATAATGTGATTTAATAAAGTTTCGTGTGCACTGGTATTTTATTACGGGTTGATATTTTGAAAACCGAATAATTTTTAGAAATAATTCAATTCAAAGTTATCCAAGTTTAAATTCTTGGTATATAAATTCTTCTAATGTTATAAATATTTTTGTAAAGATGTTCGTTATTCAATCGTATTTAAATGGCTGAACAGATTTGAATTAAATATATAAATATTTTTACCTATATATATGGTTCAATCTCGAATTCATTATAATATATATCTAGGTATTGCTTGTTTAAAATCGAGTGAAAATAAACAGCCAGATAATAGCTTTATAAACTGAGTCTAGAAATATAAAACAGATATTCTATATATTTGATAATGTAATATGCCATTTAGTCGTATATTTGACACACGCCTACGTACACAATCGATATTATTAGCAATGTATTTCATTATTAACATCATATCATTCATATCATTGTGGTAACAATAGAAGCCATATAAAATAAGCCATACAAATAATAATGAGCAGTCCCGCATTTTATATTAAACTAGCAGTGCCCGGTGGTTTCACCTCTCATTTATCCTGTAATGATGAATAATCTATAAATTCCTAACAAACTATATTGACGTACATTATATACGTATTTTTTTTTTCAAAACGAATCGGTAGTTCGGTATACTCATTGTGCGCACGTTTAAATGAACAAACTGTTCCACTTTTTTATATTAGTGTAGATTACTAGCTTGGTAAACGGCCTAATTTAAATTGTAAAATAGTTTTGTAAACAAACATAACTTTATCTTATCTATAGTATATCAAATCTGAAGTAGGAAGTTTTCACACTGTATCAGATCACGATTATATATCTACTATGTGAAATAGAGATTATTATCATCCCTTTAAGGGACTTTTCACACAATGAAATTAAATATTTTTTTTAAAACGTCAAAATTAAGAGACTGCGATACTTACGAGTAGTAATGTGTTAGCTGAATGCATCATGTGAATATAGGAATTTCTTTTTTCCGTTTTCGAGAAAAAAGTTCACTTTAAAAATATAGCATTATTTTAAGGGGTTATCCCTCAAAAGAGCGTAATATATTTCGATTTCATAACTTCATAATTTTACTTTTTATTTCATAAATTCATTAATTGAACAGAAACAATGGTCTATAAGCCAATTTCGTTAAATAGAAAGATATTTACTCCTACATTTGTCTAAAACTTCATAAACTGGAATGGAAGTATATTTATTATAAAAGATAAAAAAAAAGGAATTAAAAATATTTAGTTGAACTCTGTAACTCGACCTTTCACGAGTTGCATGTGTGCATAGTGAAAGGGAAAGCGTTTGCGCAAATTTCGCGACTGCGTTAACAACCATTGCGCTGTTTGAAGAATTATATAAATTCGTTACTTAAATTTAAAATATGATTTATATTAAAGTGTCTACTAAAACTTATGTTTATTCCAAAATCAAACAATAGATATTATATAATACAGGTACTTAATTAAAAAAATCTGTACAGGGCTACCCTGTATAGGTTTTATAATAATTTTATTTGTTTAATTGATATTTTCAATTTGGTATATATATTTTACGATTATTATTCTATGAATTTGTTTGTCGTACGTAGACGATTTGATTATTGAGTTTTATTCAAAAGTTTCCTTCTTTTACATTATGTTATAATTCACTCTATATATAAATGATAAACTTTTGTTTTTACACATTCTCATGAATTACATGTTTACAAAATACGAACAGTATCTTATCTAAAACTTTACCTACATAACTTCCGTATTCATCTTTAAGAACCTTAAGTGTGTACACAAATTACGTGCAATGCTATCATTTGATTACGTCGTACAAAAAATACAAACAAAAATAAACACACCGTCCGTAACTAAACAAAACAAACAGAATCGCATAATAACATACCTACATATTAGTATGAGAATAATGTCGAATAGTTACGTCAGTTGAAACGGGACAGCATTTCACTCTCGGAGCGGAAAGCGCGACGCGGAAGAGAAACTTTCTCTTTTGCGCAGCGCAGCGCACCGGGCGCTGTGAAAAAAGCGCAGATTACGCCGACCGACCACCCCGCGGCGCTCGCCTCACCCGCGACGCACCAGTACCATTTCGTCTCGCGGGCTCATTTTTACGTAACGTAATCGATTAATTATCAGATATTTGCATTTTATAATTATTATTACGGACAAAATACTCGGCGTTCGACGCTGACAAGTTTATTAAATGATGCTGCAAGCAATCGATATATTGAAATCAATTTATTAATATAAGTTGGTTAGTACCGAACTACTTATAGTTACTTGCACTTAATAATAGTATATAAGTAAATCAAATTAATAAACTCAATAATAAGTACATCAACAAACACATAACAAATACAAATGTAGGCACTTAATGAAGTGAGTGCTGTAACATTACTTAATAAAATACTCGACTACGCTGAAATTATGTACATTTCAATATAAAAGATGCTGCTGCATCAAACGACACATATAAAATTGCCGAGCGTACAATACCGTGGAAAAGCGCGCGCGCGAGAAAGAGACGACAGTAGTTTGTGAGGACGCAAGCGTTCTCATGCGGAGGTCAACGGCTAGCCGCGGTCGTTGCCCTGCTATCGGAGTGACCTACTGAGCGTGTGACGTCACCACCGCACCGCACGCTCGATGGCATTGGTTAACTACTACCGCGCAACGCCATCTAGAGGCGAGTAGGGGAATTGTTATGTTACATTGAATAAATTATTAATTAGGTTCTTATATAATTACTACTTATTTACGTTTTAAGCACCGTCAATTTGTCTCATTTAAAAGTTGCATTGAATAATTAAAAATTTATTATTAATATCTATTTTTTCTTTGCATTATGTACTTACCCATTATACCTAGCAATACAATGTAGGTAGGTACTTTACCTATGCCAGTTCAGGGCCAACAGGTTGCCATCAGACATGCAAACCGTGATTGTGTGAAGTATAAACTAAGCTACCTGTGATTACACTATGAAATACACATCATAATTATGTATAATTTAGATGTATACAAAATACAGACTTGAGATTTTAAATAAACTCCAAATAAACCACATGCTTTTTTCTAAACTAGGTATCTTTATTATACTTGATCTTGGTATCTATGTAAATAAGAAAATAGCGGATGTAAAAAGATTTTACTAAATATGCCAAATATAAAAAAAAAAACAAATTTTGTAAAACATTATCAAACACTTTCCTAATATTGATGTACACTTTAACTACGACCTCCATAGATAACAGACAACGCATATATCCGTATTTATGTGAAAACTAAACGAGTGATACGTTTAAAAATTACGACAAAAACAAGCTATCGCAAATAAATCCCTCCAAAGATATAGTTTACTAGTAATAATAATGTTTAATCTAATAGTCTTTTAGATAATTCACTAAATTATTTAATGTAAGAACTCAGAATCGAAATTTAGTCGCAGTCAATAAGACCTTACTACACCTCATTTAAAACTAAAATAATGTAACTGAATTATCTACTCGAATCTCCCATATATTTGATAGTATATTAATAAACCTTAAAGACTAGTTCGTCTAAATATTTATTGTCTTTATTCGTTAATTATTTTACAGAAGTGGAGTTGGAGAGCATTCAAGACAGGTATGTGCAGGTACTACGGAGTTACTTAGAGCACGCAGCGCCGCACCACCCCGGTCGATTGCAGGAACTCTTCTCCAGGATACCCGAGGTACCTACCTAGTTTGGAAATCGAATTCCCTCATTTATATCAGTTATTTTTTTTATTTATTGGTGTTATTTTGTTGTTTTATATGTTTGTTTTGTGACAACAAAAAAATATAACTCTCTGCGTGTTCTACCGCTTATACAACGGATTATGCTCAGAGGAATTATTCAATATGATGCCTACGGCCACTTTCTATTATCGTACGGCTCGCCATCGACAGGGAGTTCACCCTCATACCTTACAGCCTAAATGGTCGCGTACAACGCGGTTTCAGAGATGCTTTCTCCCACGAACACTCAGGTTATGGAATGAGCTCCCTGCCGAGGTTTTCCCGAGAGACTACAGCATGGGGTTCTTCAAAAGGGGGTAAAGAGGTTTCTTCAGGGTCGGCAACGCGCGCGTAATACCTCTGGTATTGCAGGCGTTCATAGGCTACGGTAACCGCTTACCATCAGGTGGGCCGTATGCTTGTTTGCCACCTCAGTGGTATAAAAAAAAATATAAATACAAAAATTGATAAAAAATAACTATAATTGGGTTCCTATGAATTTCCTTTCAAAACGTGGTAAAATTATGTATGTTATTTCGCATACTAGTCTATGAGATAATAAATATGCATATATGAATAAAAGTCAAATAAATTATCGTACTATGCAAGAAAATATCATTTGACACTGTGGACACCAGCCGTTTAAATTTGAACTTCCCAATGCCGGTAGTCTCGGTGCCTAATACTGCGCTTAAAGCCAAGTGTCGCAACGTGAGTTAAGACGTAGGAAATAGGGTTACTCAATTTTTAAAAAAACAAATAACGAAATATTTAGACGTATATACTTTTATGTATATTTGGATCCATGTCAATCAAAAAAAAATATTTACTTTATAAGCCCTGACAAGAATCGAACTCGTGGCGCTATTAATACGTTCAATTTCTGTACAAAATGATATAATAAATTTTCATTACAGTCACTTTTGCCGCTTGTTGTTACAATAAACTAGTTATAATTTCAATAGAAAGTATACGGATCGAGCCGATGTACTCATTCGTTTTCACCTTCCACTTTCAGATCCAAGCCGCTGCAAATCTATTGCTCGAGAGCAAAATGTTCTACGTGCCCTTTGTTTTGAACTCGGCTGAGATCAGATAGTATATGGCACAACAGGGTGTATAGTTCTCGATGTACGAGCGGCTCACCCCTCGCCCGAGCCCCCGCCGCACCCTTGTCTTATGATCACCGCACATAGAACCACCCTGTGTTCAGAGCACCGGTCCAGCACAAGTTCGTACAAATATTACTCGGGCATATAGACAAGGCTGTCTACTCCGCAATTCTCAGCTTTATAAGAAGTTACGGCTCGCGGACACCAACCTGACGTCTTTTTGAACAGTTTAAAGATGTTCGAATGGAACGATGGTTTAACACCAGACAGCAAGGAATGATAACTACAAGAAATGAGTGATAAAAAATGGATTTTGCTCTCCGCTGTGTCAGTGCTAAGGAAGTGCACAGTCAATTCTCCCACATTCAGTATGTACCTACCTTCTTTTGTGAGTGACAGTATGCAGCACGAGCATAGTGCGGTACGTTTTATACCTTTGTTGAGTCGATGTGTGAATTGGTTTTATTGTTTAGTAGAGGAATTAAAACGTCCCAATTGACAGACTGATTTATTATTAAAACTTAGTAATAGGTACCAGGGACTTGAATGCGTGTTTTATACGTGGTAGTGTGTACTACATAGTGTTAAATAGATTAAAATATATAATTATGTTACTATTTAATTATGTCAGATGGAGAATCGCATAATATATTATTTCTGTAAATATAGAAAATAGTTTAGTTAATAAGATGTTGTTTTTAAACAGAATTGTTTCTTGTAAATGGAATATTGCTGTTTTAGTTTGCATTTTGTATCCTCTAGGATTAACCAGTAGGGTAAATTGCTGGGTGTGTAATATTGAAAGTTTTAATTTAATTTTATATGACTTGTTCATATTACTGTAAGTAGCACTAAGTACCTATTCTCAGTTTACCAAGACTGCTTGTATACAACTACTGTTTTACAATAACTAATATGGCGTTGACTCGCTCGGTTCTTGTAGTCACAACTTTTGCATTTTTATTGCCAATATTTTCGCATAACACTAAACTTGTTCATTATATGTTATGTTCTATATTAAACTTCTCTTGATTCTGGTCTAACTAGGTGTAAGTAACCGGTTGAACTCGTACGTTTGATTGTCACGTGGTTTCGTTGCCTAGGCTCGCGTACGTATTTATACATTATTGTTAAAACACTCTCATCGAATGCCTTAGTAGAGACGTGTGAACTGTAGCTTTCAAGTTTTACTAAGGCACTTGTGCGAGTATTTTAGTGATGTAAACGGAGCCCTATATGAAGAGTAGTACCTATTAGAGAAGTCGTTTGGACAATCCATAAGATAAATAGATGTCTACACAATGTATTATTTGTACCTACTCTTACCAAATACTTTTATTCGAAATGTATGTATTCTGATACTGATAACTGTGTGCTGTTTTCTCCACTTTCGATTTTTAAGCTTGCTATTTGTATAGGTGCTTCAAGAAGTTACAAACCTTATTTTATACTTTGCTTCCTTTGATGTGTTCAAACGTAAATTATGCTCAATCTTTCATTATCATCTTGTACCCTGTTTTATTGTCATTTTCAAATACATTTAATTCACTGTTAAAATTACTAAATTACAATACTTATTCTTGAAAATTCTATAGTACCAATTTGATCAGCGGAAATTTAATTAAAAACAATAAATAATAGCAAAACATCACTCAAAATAAAGTAAACTGCAAGTTTCTTTTATAAAATATAGTATTTTTTTAATATAAATTTTCTTGCATTAATTGTAACATTAATCCTCACTCAATTAATTCAGTTAATTTGTGTTTTATTAAATTTACAAGTAAACAAACGATAGCCATTATCGGTACAGTAAAAATATTTTTGTTATCACATATTTCATTTTTATCCGTAATTAGAGCGAGAAAGCTTATTTGTTTACATCATTATCACACAGATTCATATGTATTCATTTCATTGCAACCCCAGATTTAAAAATTAAAAAAAAAACTATGTTTTCATTGTGTCTACTTTCATATATAAATAAATCCGGAAATCATTTTCATTCATTATCATCATTATATTTTTCATTTAGATTAATAATTTATAAAATTAAAATTACATTTTACCATAAAAATGAAGAATCATGTAATCTATCTTTAGCTTTTCAATAATAGATTTTTAAAACTAACACTGTCAATGTCACTGCCTCTGTTTAAAAATGTTATCTGCCATTGTGGTTAATGACTCGTATTAATCGTTAATAATAAATTTGTAAAAAACGTTCCAACAACGGTGAACAGTTACCATTAGTATAGGGATGGCAGTGTATGCCTATTAAAATTAAGTAATTACAACCAAAAAGTTCGTTGTAGGGACTTAGGTTCTAGTTTTACAATATGCCTTAGCATTATCACATCAACACAATGACAATATATTTGTCTATAGCACACAAAATTCCGAGGACAATGGGAAATTTCTAGAAATTGTCTACATTTTAATCGTTTATCGAAAGTTTTCATGCATAGAAAAAGAAAGGCGTAGTACGCCAGTTAAAGTATCGGCCTTAAGAGAAAATTCATTTCTATATTTCATATTTAAAGTGTCATGAAATCCTTGCTTAAAATGTCTACTTTTTCTTCAGACCAGAATCCGTGTAAAAGACACGTTTACTTGTTCGATTTTGGCAGTAGTGTAACATTTGGAGATTTCAAGATGTTCCGCCTTACTATTTCTATGTCTATATGCAAACACTTACGTCACAGGTAGTCATGTAATCTAAGCTTAGTTGCGGTATATTCTCAACCGGCGTTCAGTTCTCTGTTTTATAAAATTATAAAGCAACAAAAATGTAATGTTAGGAGATTCAGCGATGAAGGTTGTGAACTGAGTTCTACGACAGAGGATTGGGTAATCTGAAAAATTAGAACATTGAATAGACTCTCTCTTTACGCATGTTATCTGTTTATTTATATTTTTTACAAAATTGGACATCTTTATAGAAAAACTTTAAACTCACTGTACTTTACATTAACTTTCTAAAAGAGTCTTAAAATTAGCGAATCCTGTTACCTGAATAAGCGACACACGTCCGTTCCTCAACATGTTACCATTAGTTAAATAAGTGTTAGTGGATATTAAATGTGTTTTGTAAATTTTAATTAGTTCGAATATAACCAGTAACCAGTTACGATACTGCCATCAAATGCCTAAATAGTTTTCAGTTAATTTTGTTATACTTTATGTACGTTTTAATTTAAGAAAATAAAGTTGGTGAAATTATTAGTTCTTTGTGATAGTTGAACAGTGATAGTCGAAAAGCGCTGTTGGATTATGTAGTTCGGCTGCATGGCGCAGTCCATTCGGTCTCATAACATTCGTGGTCCCTTCTTTGGCTCTACGGTGAATTTCACGACAATTGGTAACACTATATTTATTTATTTTTTTTATCTAACTTAATTATAAAAAAAAATTAGTTTATAAAAACACCATCAAAACGACGGTGTTAAATCTAAAGTCTGAGGTAAAGATGCCTTTATAGATTTTTAAACAAGTAACGACGGAAATCGTAAATAAATATAACGAGAATCGTGCATCGTTCTACTAATATATAAATGCTATATGTAAGTAATATTGATACATATTTTGTTAGTATAATAGCGTTAAGGCGAAACTAACGGCAATGTATCAAATGGGATTAGACTTAAGAATGTTATTGGCGTTGTACAAAGGATAGTATTGTTAGTAAATAAACAATCAAATTGGCGCATTACTGGCGAGTACCTAATTAGTTGATAGTACACGAGAGCCCACAGAGGCTATACATTCATATGTAAATATATGATAATCGACGTGTAAAATGGCCACTCGCAAACTTCATTGCTCTTCTAAATTGTTTGCTGCGCTGATTTTTAAATGCTTTTTCGCCTCTTTCATACTTTGGTACTATTAACGTTGTCAATGACTGATCGAAATAAACTAAATTATTAACAATAGTTTGCTTCTGCTTGCTGTTATAATTATTTGAAGGTTTTCATAATGTTAGTTCGCTGATTTTGTCTATAGATTCAGACGGTCAGCTTATGAGATACTTGTGCCTGTTATATGTGACTATAAAGATTAAATTTTATTACAATGCTCACAATTAACATAATATACATAATGCAGTTAAGTACATTTAGTTAATTGTAGGCTAATTTACATTTATTTTGCGAATATACAAGGTAAAATTGTGTTTGTTAAATTACTTACTGAGTCCTTTATTTCAACTGTAGCTACGTTAAGACTCTTATAAATATGTTAAATATTACTAATATAGGCACGAGATATCCAATAGCCGACGAGTTAATAATACTGCGAAAATATTTTGACTGATAAAATAGTAATTAAACATAATAATGTTAATAATTTAATGTAAGGATGTAACAAAAACTTAATGCATTTCACAGTTTCCTTACAGTCCATAAGAGAATAGTTAGTTACGCCGTAAGATATGGTGACGAAATATTTTCACATTAATAGCTTAAGGTTTGTTGTGTATAAAAATAGCGTTCCATGTATTTCGGGTAAAAGAAGGGTTGAAATTGTGTACATTAGACATTGTAATAAATTAGTTATGAGTAACGAGTGTAAATCTGTAAGAGAATATATATTTGGAAACGTTGACGAGTGTTTGTTGTATGTAATTCGTGTCACAGATGGATATTTGGACTCTAAGTACATATTAGATATCTATTCTACGAGTTAAACTTCATAATTTATTCAACAGTAATCGACTTTTGTTACATTTACTCAAACAAACACGTTTAGCTTTCGTTTATTATTTAATAGTTAAAGAATTGCCTATTTTAATATCTTCATTATTTTTCAAAACTATATAAAAATTCTAAATCCTCGTTGTTGGTGATTGACACACACGCAAGTTGGTGAACATAAAAACAAAAGGTTTCTTTTAATATTTAGCGATTTGCGTGTCAAAACACCGATCGTGGGATTCAACTATGACTTAAACTTGAGCTTAGTGCATACAATCTATTGCTGATTACATAGTTCAATTGATCGAGGGATATTAACAAAAAAGAACAATTAAGTATATAATTAACCCAATTTAGCTCAGAAGTGAACGTGTTACTTATTTAGCCAATGTTGAAGTAGTATTGTTGTTGCAAAAATCATTTTTGTGTCCATAAATCATTCAACACAGGAAGAAGCAGACGACACTATAAAATATTATATATTTCGAAGGTAATTAAATAATAAAATATTTACTATACTCTATTTATGTATAGATATTTATGTATATTTATCTATTTATGTTTTGTCTCTACATAGAATCACTGAAAAATATTTTGTTTTTGACTGATCTTTATTTTACATCAGCAATTACCTCTATCAAATACATTGCATCTAAATCTATCTATCTATTTATGATGCTACCGTCTCATTTAATAATTTTTGGCATTTATGCACATTTTAGGAATAATCAATACAACTAATCTATCAATAGATACGTTTTTATTACTGCATGCATAAGCGATAATAGACATTGTTGTCTCTTTATGTCTCAAGAATATAGTAAACATGTTTGTTACTTGCTTAAGGAACAATATTTATTTAATTTTATTGATGTCGCTCCTTCCTTGTTGAATGCTGTAGTCCAAAAATCTAATTTTCATACACAGTATCATATAAAGTGCCTCAAAATAGATGCACACGTTAAACATACTCGTAATAAAATAGCGACAACACCGTCTAAAGAGTTCAATGTGATTGAGTGTGCTGTTTCACGTGTTTAGTTGGGCTCGCTCAATATCAAGACTTATTGCTTTCAGATCTAATATACTTTAAGTATTATCAATACCTAGGATTCTATGTTTATTTAGCAAATCACATTAGTTGCTGACTGCAGTACTGTTCTCGACGGAAAGGCTGTTATTATTCGACCAAGTTAAGATGACTGTTAGTGGTTCTAATTGTTTTGTCTCGTTCGAGTGGTGCGCCGGTCGTTAGTCAATCGAAAGTACGGTTTGCCAAGAGAAGTTACCTACAGTTGTGTTTAGTTAGCGATGCATAACGTGTTTGTACTTTAATTTGTTTTTTAGTTGTACTCTTGGAAATCAATGGTTAATAATTTAAGAAAATAAAATGTATGTGAAATATTAAGGCTTTTATATAATTCACACCAAAATAATCCTTACCCCATGGCTGTGATTGGCTTCAAAATAGATGTGATCCAACTTCTGGTACATCCGAAATTGGACTAGTTAGGGGATCGTAGGTATATTTAATGGAAGCGGGAAAAGTGGCGTGATCATCAACACCTCAGAACTGTATACTTCAACATCCACCCCAGAATCGCAAGATTTGCAAGAGTGCATAATATATCTTACTAAGGGGCCAGGTTCCCCTGGAAAATAATCTTAAATACGTCAAAGAGAGTCTTAAGAATCAACTATTCTTATACGTCTAACTTAAAAACTGTTATTAAATTTTGTGAATCATATTCATGATATTTCAGAAAACCAAAAGAGAATAAAGGTTTTCAAGTGGTAATCCTGTATCGATAAACACATTGTAGGGCAGCTTTCCTACCTACTAGATGGAGCTGGCAACTTCAAATACGTTGCAACGAATCAATGGATACAGGTGGCTCAGGACCGTTCTTAATGTCAGTCTATGGAGTAGTAGACAAGTAACAGCTAAAATGATAATGATTTATAATTGCCAAACATTTTCCACGGACTATTATCTTTGCTAAATGTTTTAAATCTCGATATGTAGTCATTCAAAGAAATCAATGTCATCACAGTATAAGTTATTCAAGTAAATATTGGAAAATACTTGTATTTTAAAAACAGAAACAAAAACACAAAGAAGACACAAGTCTGCGCGTTCACCGCAAAAAAGACACCGTTTGTCGTATCACCTCACTTTCAGGGCACTTCCCTTAATAATAAGTCGAGTCTGGGGATTCATGGCGTCGTCGACGTCCAGTTTTGCGGTCATCTGGAGGAAAAAGCTAAGATAGCTTCCAAAAAGTTGGGGGTCTCAATAGGGTGTATTTCACGCCAGAAAACCGCCTGAAACTGTATAAAGCTCAAGTGAGGCCACACATGGAATACTGTTCTCACCTGTGGGCGGGAGCGCCACAGTACCAACTCCTTCCGTTAGACCGCATTCAAAGTCGGGCAGCTCGAATTGTTGACGATCGGCGTCTTACTGTCCGGCTCGACCCACTGAAACTGCGTAGAGATGTTGCATCTCTGTGCATCTTCTACCGAATTTATCATGGGGATGAAGAATTGTTCGGATTGATACCTGCTGCAGATTTTCACCATCGTACAAGCCATAAATAAAATTTCATCCCAACCATTGGACGAGTGGCGGTCCTCCACCGTGGCACTTTCTTGCACAACCACTCTTTGGAATCAACTTCCAGCAGCAGTATTTCCGAACCGATACGACAACATAACCTTCAAGAAAAGAGCATATTCCTTTTTAAAAGGCCGGCAGCACACCTGCAATGCCGTAGGTGTTGTGGGTGACCATGGACGGCGGTAGTCACTTACCATCAGGTGAGCCGCATGCTCGTTTGCCCCCTGTGTTGTAAAAAAAAAAAGATCCAATTCATGCCTGTCAGCTGATTCTGACTCTCTGATCACCCATGGATTTAATATAACGTACAATCTAACATAACACCTTAGCTTCTTTTATTTCTCATAATAACATTGTACTATAGCTATTTTTAATGGGTGCGAATGGAATGGTGGTAACCTTTCTTACGCTATCGGTATACGTTGGCGAGGTACCGGTAAAGGATGATAAGTAAGAATGAAATCAGGTCAGTTAGTCCATCGTGAAGAATTCCACAAGAATTAACCACGACGATTTCTAGAAGAAATCGCATGGAGGTCTTCCTGGTAACCCAATTATAATCATATCATACATATCGATACCCTTATCAACATTAATTGCGATAAGACTATTAACTCCATTACTAACAATCCCTTTCCCCCAACTACAGCTATATCTCATCTCGTTTTCTATTTGTCAGTGGCATAATGGGTAACATTTGCCAAAATTATATATTAAAATCGTAATCTGTAATTTTTCTCCATTTTCTGAATAACTGTGTATTATTTGAAATACACAATGTGGACTTAACGTGATGAAAAAACATTTGCAGGTAAATAATATGTACCTAGTGTCGTGATCACGATGTAATCCACGTCGAAACGTCAGCAGGTAAAGAAGCAGGTACGTACGTACTATTTACCTGCAAAGATTTTTTCATCACGTTAAATCCTGACTGTATATTCAAAATATGTGTAAACAACGCGAAAATTTAAATCTAACAACTGTGTAATTTTGTTAATACAGAAATAAATAAATGTAAAAAGTATACAAAGTTGTATAGATATTATTCCTTTGCAATAAAAGAAACTACAAAAAAATATTATAATCTATTCCTGGTCTAATTCCTTGCCATCAGATATGTTGAAGCGTAAAGCAATCATATATGGTAAATTAATGTCAAATATGTCAATCTATTCCTGTCATAAATTCCCTTGGATTGGACTCCATAAACGATCAATTATATTAATAGTATCAATATATGTAAGCATAGATTAAAGATAGTATCATATAAAATAATAATAAAACAAAAAAAAATGAACTGTAATTAAATTACTCAAGCAATTTAGTCTACAATAAACACTATTTTTGTCAAAGATTTCTTCGATTTTTGTACTAGATATGTCAATCTATGGTCTTCGTTTTTTTTTCTATTACCTTCAACTGTCACTGTCAATGTCAAATTCATTTTTTACCGATCGCCATCGCCACATGTAACATTTTCTATGTTATAAACTACAAATTAATAATTCTTTACTTATAATAATAAATAACCACAAAAATGGTAAGATTTTACATTGAAACCGTTCAAAAATTATATTTAAACAATTAAAAATTAATTCTCTAAATGTTTAATAACGTTTAAATACTTTCGATGTTTAATATTGTGTTTCCAAAATTGTTTTAGAAACCTCTTATGCTGCAAGGGCATGAGCGTGCTATAACGCAAATCAAATATAATCGTGAAGGAGATCTATTGTTCTCTGCTGCTAAAGACTCTAAACCAAATGTCTGGTGGTCTCTAAATGGGGAGAGGCTAGGTACGTTCAATGGACATGGTGGCGTAGTGTGGTGCTTGGATGTAGATTGGCAAACCATAAATTTAATCACTGGCGGTGGCGACAGTTCGTGCAGGTTTGTATAACGCATATATCTTTTATTATAAATATATTTTTTATTAATTAATTGGAATAATAATAATTCATTATTGTATAATGCAATTTTCATTATTCTGGAGAAACATCTCTAACATAGAGAAATAAAAAAAAAATCATTTTGTAATATTGTTAGTTTACATTGTTTTATATTGAATCTTGGAATCTTTGTCCTGTCCTGACCCGCATTAATATAACTATGAGTAGATTGATCTTAGTTTATAATTATTACATGAAAATTTTGCTCCAAAAATAAAACATCAATATTTGAATAAATATCTATGGATTTTTAAAAAAAAATCCTCTCAGTTCATAAATGATGAAGTTCTAAGGTAAGAAACATAAAATACAACTGAATTAAGAACCTCCTCCTTTTGAAATGAATTAAAAAGGCGGTCTTAATGAAACATTTTTGTTCAGTAGAAATTAAATCCAAAATCTCAGAAGAATCTCATTCTTCTAATAATTAAATGCTACAAAAATAAGTTTATAGACAAAACCCTTATGCACATTTCATATAAACACTACATTATAATGCTACAGACTCTGGGACTTAGAAACTGGAAAAAATATAGCAACAATTAAAACAAATTCTTCAGTAAGGACATGTAACTTCAGCTTCAGCGCATACCAAGCTGCCTACACCACAGACAAGGCTATGGGCCATCCTTGTGAGGTATGAATACAGTTATTTATTTTATATTAGCTTCAACTTCCAACTTCATCCTCCATCTCCATCAACTCAACTTTATCAAATACGATAAAAAGAGTAAGACCGAGGAATAACTACATGAGACATAAAAGAAACAGTAGGTGTCATGTCATATTGGGAGGTCAAGGATATGAGCTTGGGATAGAACTGGCTTGACGAAGATGCATGAATTAGTTACACCAACAAGAGGCAACTCTTAAATGAAAAGAAAAAGGAAAGAATAATTTATTTTTGAAAATATCTATTAACCATAATGTGCTCGATTAGTTTCTAGTATCTTTTATTTGAATTTATTTGTTTCACAAAATGTTGTAAATTTAGTGGCACCTAGAAACAACTTAGCTATGATTCATTAATTGAATTAATAGATTTATTGATAATATAATTATACTTTTTTTTATGAAGAGTAATATATTTCAAAGGAAAGCAGATAGAATTGACAATTTTATAACAAATTTATATTTTTTTTTTCTGTTACTTTCAGGATAAAATTTTTCTTTATTATTATTAATTGTATTATAGTGAAATCCTTATGATTGTAATAATAATTAAATGTGAATCTTAATTTTGTGAATAGTATATTATGAATAATCATTATAAAAACAATACAATTTCAGGTCTTCATAATTGACACAAGAACTATTGACGATTCAATTTCCACTCAATCACCTATACTAAAATGGGAGATCACAGATTCTAAAGTCACCTCAATGGTATGGGGTACTCTAGATGAGACGATCATAACAGGCCATGAGACTGGAGACCTTATCCAATGGGATCTAAGGGTATGGCATTTTAATTTCATATTTATAATATAGATGATGCTAGTAGGGTGGCCTTGTCTCCATGACAAGGTTTTTAAGTTTAAATAAAATCTTTTGATAGACTTTGTTAATGTGAACCAATCATAATAAATGAATACCATTACATATATTATACTTTTTTAAATATATGCAAATTATATATCTGAGTAGAAAACACCCAAACCAATACAAAAAACACTCATATTCTATAATAATAATATATAAGTATTTGTATTGTGTGGGCATCAAAACTGTTAACATCGGAAATTGAGTGGTGTGTTAACTACTATATCACCAAGGATATCTTGTCAACCTGACATCATGTAAACATTGAATGTGCTAACATGTATAGGTAATATAATGGCATATTCTCAATTATTTTTTCATCAAATGCCTACTTTTTAGTAACATTTTATACTTTACAGACTGGCAAGAAAGTACATTCCATCAAGGAGCACACCCATCAAATCAATGATATGCAATTATCCCGCGATGGAACCATGTTTATCACAGCATCAAAGGACCAAACTGCTAAGTTATTTGACACTAGCTCTCTAGAGCTACTAAAGGAATACAAAACTGAGCGTCCAGTAAATTCCGCTGCCCTCAGTCCAATTCTTGATCATGTAGTCCTTGGTGGTGGTCAAGACGCTATGGAGGTAACCACAACATCAACAAGACAGGGTAAATTCGACGCCCGATTCTTCCATCTAGTGTTTGAAGAGGAGTTTGGGCGTGTTAAAGGTCACTTTGGGCCTATCAACAGTTTGGCTTTCCATCCTGATGGAAAGAGTTATGCATCTGGCGGTGAAGATGGTTATGTAAGAGTGCAGAGTTTTGATCAGTCTTACTTTGATTATACTTTTGATTACAATAGAGACTAACCCATAAGGGAAATTTTGTTATTAACTTCTCATATTTGTGAACAATTTTTTGAATTAAAACTATAATTGTCACATAAAAATTTTTTATTCTAATATTTCTAAAGAAATACGAAGTTTTACAATTATCTTCATAGATCCTATTTTTTTTTGTCATGTGGTCTACGAGATACTGAAAATTATATAGAACCCAGCATTAACCTTACGCTCTTTTGGTACTCAATTGATAAGGAGCAAGCAGTAGCAGTCTTTTGGATTAATTGGGTTTGTTATTAGTACTTACATCAGTGAATAGTAGAAAAATTGTAAATTTATAACAGTTTTTCCACTGTCTTATCATATGCTTAATTTATTATGCAGACGAGTGTTATTTAATACTGTCTTAGTATTATGAACCTACACCGAATACAAATATTATACAAATTGAGCTGTTAACATCCTTTGAAGGGACTTTCTACCCATATACTTAGTATAACGAAAGGCCCTACCATTGAAACTGAACTCTTTCATTAAAGAAACAGATCAAAAAACAACAGAAACGTGTTGAATTTGCACGTTAGATTTCGAATCACTAGATTTATTATTTTTTATTCTACAGAATTTTTACATACGTCTAATGATATCAATTTCACCTTAATAAAAATTAAGGCAAGGCGATGCATCATTATAATAACAATATCATTAAATGGAATAAAACATTTTTATATATAAAGAATTTAATACAACATAATTATTCAACAATTCATTTTACAAAATATTTATAATTACAATTGGGAATACTTTCATTGTCTTATGAGTACGAACGACTTTATCACTTCACTTATAATTAAAGAAAGTATGGAGTAGTATGTTGCGGTGGTACTTCTCTCTCACTGTCGGGCACTGCTTGGAATAATTTAGCAGTTCTGTCGTTTACAGTCTCGAATTCTAATATGGCAGCTATATTACCACAACGATAACAGTAATTAGGAGCTGACCAGACGGTAATCAATCGTGTATCGAACATATATTTGTAACCTGTAACAAAGGATACCGTTGTACATATTCTTCAATTACATCAATAAATCTTTCTAACTATATATATTTATTACATCAAATGTGAAAAAGTGGGACAAAGGAAATGCTGTACCAACTGTGTTATTATATGCTTATGAGGATTATCTTTACATTAAGGTATTTAAATTAGTTTGCAACTAATTTTAGGGGCCTGTTACACTCTCTTGAGTTAGTGTAGAAATGTGTGTGAGAAAGTATAAAAAAATTCTTAGAATTTGACGTCACAGTATAATACTGTGATATCCATGTCTTGGTTATATTTAAAAATAGTCACCTTCATTTACAAGCTGATGGGCTCTACATATTAAATTCAAATTGTTATAATTCATGAATAATTCTGTCACATATCTTCCGAATAACCACCCAGCACCTCGAGGGCTCACTGACCTGCAAATAATACAAATAACTAATAATTATTTTATTAGAATATTATAAATGAACGAATTTATAAAGTAGGTTGTTTTGTCTCCACTAAATTGATAATACAAAAAATATACATATGGGTAGATAAAATACATAATATTTATGTTATAATACACCCATAAATGGTCCTTGGAAATTACATAATACATTGATGCCTGTGGTACATCTCAAGTAATACTATTTGTCATTACAATGTAACGTCTTAATTCTTATTAAGACATTACTCCTCCACACTGTAATTTCACAGTCATATTGCCACCTTTCAATACAACTAAAATATAGCTATACATAGCTATATAGCACCTGTGATTACAGTTGCTTGGCGACAGAAATGTGTTGGAAAGAGGTACCTAAGTAGACAACTTTAAATACATTACTTTATATACTAACTCATTAAATATCATATAATGTATATATTTAAATTTTAACAATATTTTCTTACCACATTTTAACATCTGCAGGGTCTGACCACAGTAAATCACAGAATGCTCCTTTGTGTGGAATTTGTTGGTTTCTATCAATGCAGCGAATCTGGTCTAACATTGATATTTCTGGGGACAGTCCACCATGGACACATAGAACTGTATCATCTATTAACTGAAAAAAAGTAATGATACTCTCTATGTATGTGAGGCATTATGTAGTCATAGCATTAACAAAAACATTATTAATTTATACATATTTATTATTTACTAAATGTATATAATAAATATATATTTAATATATATTACTGTAATCTGCTTCAATAGAATTAAATAGAAATGTTTTGTTAAAATTATCACAGAAACATTCTAAATGGAATAGGTAACAAATTAAAACATTCAATCAATTACTCTATCTTTGATTGGACATCAATAGGCTGTCTTATGGTCAGGCCAATTATTCATTCCCACAACTCACCTATTTGTTGGCTGGAGTACTTTTAGTAGTATATGTATCTACTACATGTAAGTATATTAAAATATATGACAATTCATTGAATTATTATAGCACCAAAAGTTCAAATTTGCTTTTAGATTAATAAGTAAGGATTTAAAATTGTTATTTTAGATATTAACACCCAGTACATTGCAGGATAAATATAGAAAATAATATGGCAAAGCCTTCTCTTTTATACATAACACTTCCGTTCATCATTTTGAACAAAATTTTATAAAGTAATCATAGGTAAGGTAACAAATGAGCTAGCCATTTTTGGTTAATAGTTAAGGTCATATAACAATATGAATCATGATTCTCAATTGGCCCAAATATTATTTTTTTCATAAAATAACATGATCTGTGTTATATTTTTTTTAAATTAAAAAGTTCTAATAATCTAAATTAGACTATAAATCATCTATTATTAGTAGTTACTGTTAATGATAATAATAATATATATACATACAGCTGCTACTGTGAGTAAATCAAAAACTCTACAACAGTCTTTCCAAGCATTTGCATTTCCATATTTATTTAGACATTCATCATAGAAACCATACACTTTTGTGATTTGGCATGTTTCATGGTTCCCTCTTAACAGAATAATCCTGAAATGCATACAAAAAGTTACAATAATAATTTGAAAAACATTTTTGTGTTAATGAACAATAGATTGTGTTACCTGAGCCTTCAACTCCAAATGTCGTAAGAGGTGAATAGGCTTACACAGCAGAATATGCCAGTACAAAAGAAGGAAAGCACAAAATAAAACTTACAGATCCACCTAGCAGTTTGGTAATTGTAAGCCAATGTTTTTTTATGATACATAGAATGGTAAACAAGCTGATGGCCCACCTGCTGGAAAATGATATCCATCACCTATAGACATGGACATTAATGCTTTTAAAATTCACCTATTTAGCAGAAGTAATTTAATTATTAATCTCACCTGTCAGGGTACCTGGCTTTTAATGCCATAAGTAAGGTCAATGTTTCTAAGCTGTAGTATCCACGGTCAACATAATCTCCCATAAATATATATTTTGTTTGTGGCACTTGACCTCCTCGGTTAAACAGTTCCTCTAAATCATAAAACTGAAAATTAAGAACATTAATTATTAGAATTCTGTTCTATAAGAGTATATAAATAAGTTTTCTATGAACAAATAAATATAGCAATAAAATAATATTTTATATTTACTTTATATATACACATATGTATACAAATATTACTGTAAATTTTTATAAACTATTACAAATATAACCACAGCGACAATAAAAACTACCTACCGATTTTACAGACCATTATTTGAAAAACTGAGTTTTGGAAGTATAATAATCTGATAAAAACAATTTTAAACCTCAGAAAGGAATAGGAATCATAGAGTATTTTATATATACTGTTATTATTTATGAGCAGTTTTGTATTACATATCTGTCAACTTATTTGTCCTTCTATGTTGTGTAAAAATACAGTGAATATGTAGTACACATGCTTACAATACCTAATTAATAATTTATCATCTAGCATTTGTATGATTATACTAAATGTATAGATACTCATTTGCTGACTCATAGATAATGAATTTAAATCATATGACAGTGAGATTAAAAAAATATACCAGTGCTGGATAAATACTGGTGAAAATCACATCAAACTTATTTATGAAGCATATTTTCCTATCAATGTAATATACATGAATGACTTTATGAACATAATTCCATTATCCAAATTTTATACTTGATGGTTCAGATAAGGTAATAATAGGAAAGTACTTTATAAATATTAGCCATATGCAAATATGGCTTACTTAAGGGATTAAGTATCTAGTATTGTGAAGATATTTCACAAAAAATATGGGGTACTTAGCTTGCTGTCCACTAGCTCACATTTGTGAATTTCAAGAGTAAAAAAACTGGCATATCAAGATAAAATATACACATATTTTTATGCAGAAGCTCTAGAAATACAATTGTGAAAACCATATCCAATATGTGCAATTTTTGTGTGACAGACAGACAAATATTATTAAAAATTATTTCAACATATATTAATTTTTCTTAAATATCTCTTACGTACGGGCATTATCTAGTTACAATTTTAGTACATTAGTAAGATATAAAAATATTGCATTCTTTTTTAGAAGAAAAAATGTATCAAAAAAATATAACAAATTTAGTGCATGTTAAGTAGGTAAATATTTTAATAAGTTTTTTAAAGGCACAAAATGCTAATGACGAATCGTTTGAAAATAAATGTATAATCATTAAATTTACCTGGCCATGAATATCTCCGCAGACGGTTACTGGAGTCTGAACCGGTTGCACATTTGGCTCCTCAAGCAACAAATCGCATACGATATTGCACAATTCTCGTAAATCATCTTCAGGCAAATATTTACATGTTTTTGCGACTTCTATCCATTTATCTATGTCAGTCATTTTTGGTTAATTAGGTAGGTCAATAGGCGTTTCTTATTTTTATCTAAAATTTCAGTTCAGAATTCTAACAACAAAAAACAGACATATGTGTGACAGATGTTCAACATTGCCAGATATAATTTTTGATTTGTACTTAAATATCAAACATCGTGTTCTTCATAAGGGTAATATCCCAATTATTTTATAGGGTGGACTTAATGTTTTCTCGGCGTTGTCTCTTTTATTCTTCTCTATTTTATTCTGTTCTACTCAAAAGTTTAACATATTTTTCTTCAAATTGATACTTTTATCCAATTACAAACTTTATTACATTTTATTATGTAGTTATAAGTATACCACTATGCGAGCGACTAAGCTGTTTGTAAGACTGTAAATCTAACTTAAAGTTTACAAGAATCTTGAATGACTATCTTTGTTAACAGATTTCTCTTATGAAAAATGTTGACCGCAACTATCCACCGTCTCGGTTCAATATTTTATATACTTTGGATATTTTCCAATTGCTATTCTTTTTCTTTGAAGTTTTCGATTTATTTTCTTTCACCTGTTAAAACAAATTTTTATTAATTTGAATATTGTACTTAACAAGACTTTTATTACAAATATATACTTTGTTGTACAATTTTCACTTTTATTATAAACATTGCTAAAATTTAATATGAACACGCTTTTCAAAAAACATAACATACATATTTTGGTTGGTTTTCAATTTTTTTATTTTATATTGACCCCAGATGCTACATAATTATTCGTATAATAATGGTCATCGTTAAATACAATTAAATTCTCGTAGACTTACCTTAATACGGACTCCCTTATAAAAGTATGTAGATGAAATATTGAAATCATACCTATACTTATTGTAAATCAGAAAAACAATAATTTTGACCTTATTCAGAATTTCTGTATAATAGTACGATGTTTTATGGAATTTTCTGAAGATTATTTGTAAATACATGCTCCAACAATGCCAAATTTTTCAATATTTTTATAATTCATGATAGGTTGATATGTTTGTAAATTTCGTAAATATGAAAACTTACCCTAATAAACGAAATAAAAACTTAATCTGGCAACATTTCAATAACATACCTCCACAGAATATATCACAAAAGATTAATAATCACAGAACACACATGACAGCAATAAACCTTATTGTACCCATTATTATGAAGGGTACAGTTAAGGAAACCCTTGAGTACCCTTAACCCGTCAAGTGGCGGCCGCCATTTTATACATTTCTGCTTTACTGGCTTTTTTTTTTTAATTTATTCATGACTGCTTTACTGGCGAATTCCCGCTGCTGCCAGAAAAAAAAATAGCGTATCTGGCAAGCTTCCGTTGCGAGATAATGTTATAGTACTCTGTTTTGATGGGCCTAGCCTATTTCTATACTGTTCTCACTTTCTAACACACTACAATGTGACATCATAAAACAAAGACACTCTACTGACAGTCAGTATACTCCAAAAAATATTTTTTAAATCATTTTCTGGGTAAATTTCATGTACGCCATACATATTATTTTTTTGGTGGCAAATATTATTTGTTTAAATTATAGCGAAAATGCAATAACTGTAACTATATTTATTTAAATCAAGTTGTAAATTGATGCAATTGTAACATTTGATAAAATATATAAATCATACGCGATACAACACTGTCCGGAGAGGGTCAACTTAACCCTTCTTTGCATGATTTTTTTATTGGTGAATTAAATAATAATATAATTCATGTTCAAAATTAAAGGAACAATGGTTATAAAAAAAAATTTGATAGCAATATTTTTTTTTTTCTGCAATGGACATTAAAAAGGTATCCAGACACGATCAACTTTAAGTAAACTTGTTCTTTTATATAATTTTTAGGCATTCAATGTTATGATGGAAATTTCCACCATTATGCAAAGAAGGGTTAACTAACTGACGCGGCTATTTTAATTGATCGCTAGATAATATGGATGAGACGTTTGGATTTAATATTTAAGCTTTAACATTGGGGCTTGTATACATACCAGGTCACTCAGAAAGTATTGCGAGAAAAAGTTTTTGTTTGTGAGAGCGGCCAGTTATAATTTATTTAAAAATATGATTACTTATAAGTAAAAATAGGTACGTTCTAAATTCAAAACTTCCCTCCACATTTTTTGCGAGAGAACACAACACGTCCATCTATGAGTGCGGAGGATAGTTTCACCCTGGATTCCGCATTACCTCACCGATGTTCAAAAACAGGCTAGGGTGGAATGGTGTCATGATATCGTCATAGTCGTAGAATACTGACGGATCTTTATATGTAATATTCGTCAGATCCGTTAGTATTCTATGACTATGACGATATGGTAGACAAATTTGAAGCAAGCTCGTCTTGGCGTGTTTTTTTTTTCTTTTCTTTTCTTATGGCACGGCACAAAGTGCATCCGCCAAAAACAAAGTTTGGAAAACAGCATTTTAAGGAAGGAGTTTTGGACGAAGAAATTTAGGATAAGGATCAGAAAAGTTGAATGATGGATAATATAAGGAAAAGGACAGATATCTAAATAGAAATTACAATATATTTAATCATAAAAATATATATGTATATGAAAAGTACATAAAATAAGATAATTTACAACTTAATATTATTGATAAGAATAAAAGATGAAATCAAATTATATACTTCTAACTTGGCGTGTTTACGACATCGTTACAGGTGATGAATCCTGGATTTATCAATACGATCCAGAAACAAAGCGCCAGTCGACGGTTTGGGTGTTTCAAAACTAATCAAAGCCTACCAAATAAAGCGACCTAGAAGCCGGGGGAAGATTTTGATCGCGAGCTTTTTCAATTTGACTGGCTACTTGGTGTATTGAAAGGAATTGTCCTTTACGAAACCAAAGAAGCAATAACGCCGATTGATATACTACCAAATGCTTGGCAGAAGCTTTCTCTGTTGTGAGTAACAAGTGACCAAACACAGGGCTCCGCGGGCTACTGCTCCACCAAGATAGCATTATTGTGGTGGAGCAGCAGCCCGCCCACACCGCAATCAAAACGAGGGACTTCCTAGACAGCACACCGGTCAAACTCCTGGGTCACCCTCCTTACAGCCCGAGCACCGTGTGACTTCTTCTTATTCCCAAAAATAAAAAAAAAAACAGCTCAAAGGGATACATTTTTCGTCGCCGGATGATGCGCTCTCTGCGTTCGAGCAAGCTGTAAATGAGGTGTCTGCGGCGGACTGGAAAATGTTTCGAAAACTGGTCAGTCGCATGAAACTCTGTATAGAGGCTGGTGGAGAGTACTTTGAAAAGATGTAATATATATTACATATATATATATATTTTAGAATTATTATGTATATATATATTATAGACCTTTTTTTATATTAATTTATATTTTTTATATTAATATCTTTGCACGAAAATATTTAGAAGTTTTTTATCTATTTTATGATAGCCGCTTTCAAGTGTATTTTGGGTAAAAATTCTGTTTTTGTTCATTTCTCAAATATTTTTGTAGGCAAACATGTTATGTTTATCTTAAAGGCCTTTTGTAAACTAAATCTAGTTTTAGCAAACAAATTCATATCAATATTTTTTTTTTATTTGTTCTACAGGTAATTAATTGCATGGTAGGTAAGCATGAGCCATTGACACCTTTCTTTAGACTAAGCTTGTAACATGAGCTATTTTATACGATCGGCGCGGGGCCTCCCGTTAGGGCTGATTATTGTACTCTTTTATTGATAAAAAATTGTACAGTGATTATATTGAAATCGATATTAGGTACTAAATCCTAAACTAATTTTTAAAATGATTAATTACCTATTGATAGTTTAGCAAAAACAAGAACTAAGGAGTCTCAATAACAGCAAAAAATATTTTTTAGAATTATTATGTCTTTCATTTGTTTATTTCGGTATCTTGCAAAACTACAGCAGCAAATTAATCCTGATTTCACCGTCGGTTCCTACATATAAAAATAAAAAATGCGTGTTTTTATGTTGTTACATCATAATATAAATGGTCAACTTAATCGGTTTGAGTTTACGAAGTAATGGGTAAAATCTAATTTTAAATAAATAAACTATTTTATCCAAGAGTTTATTTAACATGAAAATAAACATGCAAGTACATTTTATAAACGTTTATTACATTCTGTTATTCATAATATGGTGCTGTTGATATGCTGTGAGTGAGTTAATAAACATAATAATAATTATTATGACTATTATTAACTTATTGCTAAAGCATATTATGTATTCCAAATACAACAGTTGAATTTTTATGGGACGGAACACTTTTTCTGTATTTTTGAATAAAAATGCACAAGCAGAACAAAATACCAAAGTTCAACAAATAAAAAAACAAAATTTGTTGAATGCAACAAAATTTGTATGCAAATAATGATTAAAAATGTACTATTCTAATAATTAAAAACTAAAATCTAAGCTCAACTTGTAATTGGGTTTTTTTATATAAGCATGCGAGAAACTCAGTCCTCAGTAAAAATATCACTTAAGTTGAAGTTGCCAAGGCATCACCAAATCACAGTACGCTATTCTAGAGACAGTTAACAAGACATAAAGTAAAACATAGAATGTTTGGTTCAGAATAAATTTGTTTTTACTCGAGGTAAGTACCAAATAATGGTGCAAATTACAAGTTATTACAAATCACTAAATAATAATGTATTTATGAGACCGATAGTAGTAAAAAAAGGCTTAAATAAATAATTGCTTGTGTTAAACAAGAAAAATAAAAAAAAAAAACTACTCATCTAATATATGTTTCAACAAAACAATATTACACAATATAAAAAAGCGTGCTTAGCGTTTTTGAGTTACATTTTATCTAAGTTTTGAAAATTTTCAACATTTTCAGTTATAAAAAATGACTTAAACCCGAGAGAGTACCAAGTGATCACAGATTCTGAAAGTCCGTTCATATCAGTACAAAAGTAACCAACATGTTGAAACGGATCTACCTATTACTACAACACAGTATGAAAGCGGATTCATGCCCATAGTATCTGAGTCCCACTATTACTACTACATGTTTAGTAATGGATACAGCTTATTTTCAAAAATATATATATATACCTACACAATACCACAAAAATTAGTAAGTAAATATTGAACAAAAAACATGAGCATGTACCTGTTTTCATTTTGTCTATAAATACGAAAGATATGCGCTATAATTATTTTATATTTGCTAAACAAAATAAGTTTGACAACCAGTACTCATTATAAAACATTACAAATGCACAACTGCTTTGGCAAATTGAAAAGTTCATTATTACACAACCGTTCACCTAAGGACTACTTTATAACAGTCAAATAGTAATAAATAAAATTTGAAACAACACCTAGGTGAGTACTGGCGATCAAACGTGGGAGGCGAAATGACATTCAGTTTATGAAATACCTTCTTTTATAAGTCATACATAAAAGAAATATCCCCCTATTGCCACTATTTGACTCCCATCATTATTAATTGTAACAATGAACACATAGCAGTGAATTACGAGTATCAGGTGCCAGATTTTTGAATAACCAAAACGACCCTGTTATTAATGGTTCAAGCTACAGATACTAAACTTAAAATTAACTAGAAATACACAGTTACTACTTAAATAAGACAAAATTAAGCTTACGCGAACATGGTAGAAGCGCTTTCGTTTATAAAAGGTAAATATATTCAACTATATACTTAAAGGACATTAACAATACACACGTAAAATGTAAAATATATAAAAGGAAACCGTAATATAAGTTAATTATTATTCTGCAATAAAATATACTAATTTGGAAGTAAAACTGTTAGCGTAAGCTAGCATCTTAAAATTAAACAAACATTTTCATAAATAACACTGAAATAAAATATGGTCGTCTCGATCTATGAAAAACATATCAATATTAGTCATATTTTAAAAATCAATATTTGTAACAGTTAATGCAAGAGTTAATAGGAAAGTGTAATACTGAAGAACTTGAACAAGTTTCTCCAAAGAAAATTGTACAATAAACAATTTTGGAACTTTATATTACTAAATATATAGATCATGAGATGCACAGATAAAATATAATTTCATATTTCGACTAGGTTCCTTGAGAAAAGTTGCTCAGTTTCAAGAACACTATCATTAGATTTTTGTTTAGTATACACTTTCCAACTAACCCTTTATATTACAATAAATCGAGTTGACGTACCACAATACATAGACACAAATTCTCTTCCGACATTAAACTTAAATAACGAAAAGCGATCTTTTGAAAAATTGCAGCTTATTAAAATTTATAACTTTAAAATTTTTCATAAGCAGAGATCCAAAGACGGAGTTACACAATCTGTTAGAAAACTGTATATAATTAGGTTAAGTGAACTACCCACAACTAACACGACAATTTAACAATAAGATTGATTGCAGACGGTGTATTTTCTACACGAAGACTACGCGCGTTTCACAGATGTACAATTACGGCGCCGTAAACGTCTAAAAAACAAATCCTCGCGACAATCTCGTCCGAAAAGCGCTTCATCAGCGCGTATAAAATACATTGTCTTCAAAAACCCTAAGACCTCTTTATATGGAATTTCGCAAGTTTAATTAAAGGGGTATGACGATTTTACGTCGTAAGATTTTACAAAGAAACTTATCTACAGGAATATTATTAAGTGTTTCAAGCGATATTAGTAAATGTAGTTTTACGTTCAAACCCCATTTACTAATATCGCATTATATATTTGGTAAACTACATAGGTACGCTTAGAGTACTGCAGAAATCTGTACGAAATTCCGCCCCTTTGTAAAGAGGTCTAACGCAGGCGCGTGAAACACAAACAAAACAATACAAACAAAATATGAACCAGATTTCGTTAATATTAAGTAATTTTTATTGTCTTTCGTCAACAATACACACACTTGTGTTTTGCTAACGTGATACTGCACATACAAGTGTATAAAATATGGAGATAATGTTTGTAACATTTTATTGTACAATAAAATCTTAAATTGTAAGATTAAGTTCTTAAGAAGAATTAAAAAAAGATTGAGTATAATGGCGGATTTATTCCATAAAAGGGATTTCTTCCAGTTAACCTTTGAGGGGCTGATAGAAATTTTAAATGGTGTTGACAAGTTAGTTGTAGTTTCAATATTATGATTAATTCTTAATATTAACATGTTGATAACATTGCAGCGGGAAAATGTGTTCAAATCTATTCATACCCTCTTTAATTTGTATAACTTTTAACAAATACCGCACCACTAATATCTAACAAATACATAAGAATGAGGTTTCACGATTTAATTTTATCCTATTAGATGAGGACCAGAACACATTATGGTTCAAAAAAATTCATTGCAATATCGAGGTCAGAGGTTAAAGATTAAAATTAATGACAGTTATCCACAGCGTAAAGAAGCACTATTTTATTAGTAAACTTAATGTACTTATTGTAGTCAAATGTAAAACATAATGTTATTTCGTTTAATACTTTTATTTAAAGGGTAATGGGCCCTGCACTTGCTCCCTTTTTCCTAGTGAGATCTAGATTTCTTTACGCTGTGTTGTATTGAAATTGACAGATGTGTCCTTGTTATATCGTTATTCGAATGCGAATGATTCACTTGAATTGGCCGAGTGCAAATGCATCCATCACCTTGGGGACATGTTCATCTATTCCAATGATGTCCAGGACTCCTTCATGGCTGCCGTCGGTAGTAGCTACGCGGTGCGATGCCAAGGACATGACGATCAATCTGTTAACAAAGATATAAGAATACAATGTGTGTCACCATTTATTTTCATCGCCAAGACATTGTAAGAGGCGACTGTGTGAATACATCATAGTGCATTATTGTAGTAATATCTGGATGTAATAGTTCTTCTACTGGCGAGCCCTATACCTAGCAGTGATAAGCAAAACAAGCTAGGATTGTACGAAATAAGTGAAATAAAAATATTGTGACATACTTAGCATCCTTGACGCCCGAGCTGTCCCTGTATCGCTGCAGCGCACGAACCGGACAGTGGTCGGGTGTATCGTCTGTCGGCGGCGGTCCATAGCGACCGCCCGGTCCGCGGCCACCGCGAGCTGCTTGCTCCAGCTCCATGTAGCGAGTAGTCCGGTCCACCATGTTGATGAATACATCCACTTTCTGCTTGTTCTTGGCGGCCCACACGATTGGAGCATCGAGTTGAACGCGACCTAAGTTCGCTTTCTGAAATATTATAAAGACAATTAATAATTTTAATAACTCCTACAACTACTTATAATTATTCCTCTCCATGTAAAGGTTATCTGGAAGAGATCGCTTTTAACGATGAGAATACTCATTATTTTCCCTTTGTGATTTTTTCATTATTTTACTAAGATAATTGCTGTAATCTTTTGGCGGGAACAATAAAGAGTGACTATTAATAATAAACCTAATATATATTTTTAAATATACAGTAGGAACTCAATGGGATGAAAAAAATTGCACCACGGTGCAATCTACGTAGAAACGTCGGCAATAAAGAAACAGGTACTATTTACCTGTAAAAGATTTTTCATAGCGTTAAATCTCGATTGTGTATTTAAAAATATATGTAAACAATGCGCAAGTTTAAAAAAATAACTAAATCTAATATATTATGACACAAAACATAATAAAAGCGGAACTTTAAAAAAGAGATCCATTGTTGGTCACTTAATAACAATGTTTGTTGCTTTATAACGGAGTTTAGTGTCGGAAATCATTTTAATAATTTGTCTACTTATATATGTTTTGTTTGCAGAAAAATACTTTTGTTACTAAATAGAAAAAAAAAACACTATACTATATATTGTCCTATTCTATTCACATTTGATGGAGTAATAAGACTATCATGGTCCTCGTGTAGGTACTTACTCTCAACACGAACTCTGCTTCATCAATGTTGGTGAAATTGCGCTCTATCGTAATAATCTGCACACCCTCTTCCGTGAACACCGCTAACTTTACGTTTTTCTCACGCTTCAATATTTGCAGAGCCAGTATTATTGCTAAAATATTTGCAATTACTTTTAAAATGTTATATGACACAAAACTTCATTATTGGATAGTAAAAACAATTTTTTTTTCTTTATAGAATTTAGAATGGCAAACAAGCTGACGGTCCACCTGATGGAAAGTGGTAACCGTCGCCTATAGACATGAGCAGTACCATGGACATAACAGAGTATACTATTTCACCCATGATACCCCCCATGCGTTACCATTCCTGAGGACTCAGATGTTATACCTCTGTATCCAGTAAATTCACGCTATATCCCACTCTTCAAACTGAAACACAGCCATGCAAACACAGCTGCTTCACGGTTGAAACACGAATGGGATAGAGGTACCCAAGCAATCGACTTTTGTACAAAGTCTCCCTCTGGTACATTACTCTATTACACTACTATTACATTATATATACATATATATTAAATGTGAACAGAAGAAACACAACTTCATTAATTGTGATAAGGTTGAAATTGTTACCTGCATGGCCTGGTGTGACATATTTATTATGAAAGCACTCAGCCACTAGGTGCTTCTTGCTTTTTTTCTCGGTGTCAGCGTCGCCGCCTCCGCTCGGGTTCGTATTAGTCGCTGTTCGCTTTCCTTTCTTCGGTATTACGAAGGTCTTGCAAAAATGACGACCTGTTTAAGTAAATGTACTTATGAAAATATATGCAATTCCTACACTTAAACAAATACTAATAGCATACTGTTTTGTGGAATAAAGAAGAATGTTCACACCAACATAGAACTGTGTATATTGAGTGTTACATTCAAATTAAATTGCTAAAATAATTTCGGTTTGTATTAATATTCAAGTTCAGTTTATATTATAATCCAAGACTACTAGATAAATGAGTAAAGTCAGAACCAATCTTTAAATATTATATGAAATTACAATATAATATCAGTTGTGATGCATCTCAATAGGAACCTTGCAACATCTACATTTTTCTCTGTACTTATTTACTATTTATACCAGGTTGTCTGTAAGTGATTGCTTCTAGCGATAAGGTCCCCTATCTATATATAAGGTATAAATCTCTTTTGTGCGCAATACAGTTTTTTATTATTACCTTTAAACATGTGGTGTCTCATGTCCATGGTGATCATGTAGCGGACCTTCGTCGGTGGCGTCAGCAGCCATGTTTGGTCGATCAACTTGTTGAGTGCAGCCAAAACCGCGGTATTCGGTGGTTGGTCTATACCTGTAACATACATGTAAAAAAGTGACTTTGTTACCTCTTTACGACAGTACAGTTTAAAACAACGTAACGAATTACAAAATTATAAAGCAATAATATACACACCCCAGTGCTTGACTTCTTTAGGATGTCTCCTGGTGACAGTCCACTCCCATGTGCCAGTTTTGCTGTCGAACATCTGTCTAGACCGACGACGTAGCTCTTTCTCGGCTGCTACTTTTGCTTTCTGGTGCTTTAGAGGTCTGGTTGAGATGATTGCGAGAAAAAAATAGTTTTTATGCATTAGCATTACACTTATACGTATTTTTTTCAAACATTCTGGTAGTTTATTTTTATCATCTATCCTTTATATTTAATAATTTAAATTTAATTAAATTAAGGCAAAACTAGTTATTTTTTTAATAACTAAACAACTGAACAGATTTTGAAAAAAAAAAAAATCTGTGAAATAGATCTGTAAGTATACCATTACAGATAAAAAATAATAATTTTCCTAGTCGGTTTACAATTGATGGACTCGCCTATGCTTCTCCCTTCGAGCCCAATCGACCCTCCATCTCTCGACGGGTGATGATCTATCGTTTTGCCCTCTAGGGCAAAACTTGGTTAGCCAATATTTATACATAATAAGTAAGAGAAAAAACCTCTTAAAAAGGCGGACTGGTATGTAAGACACAAGAATATAATTTAAAATTGAGTTTCAACATAGGCACAAAATATTTTTTAAAAGTTCAAAAATAGTATTATTAATTAAATAAGTGATGATTGATTATTTATATTTAATAAGATTGATTTATCAAATACTTTACACTCTCACCTGGTTTTGTTCTTATAGTTGCACAAAGTGATGTAAACTGCAAGAGGTGTGACCTTCGACTTCTTGATGAAATCCTGATTATTCAGCAAAGAGACTAGTATAGCTGTTGTAGTAGAATCACTGGTCAGAAAGCCCATATTGTGGATGCGTTGGATGTGGTACAAAAGTTCTTCCAATTTGAACTGAGGCATTATTGCATTCCATACCTGTAAAATATGTGAAGTGTGAAATATATCAATTACAGAACAGTCAATTATTACGTAAAGCAATTTTTAGAGATTTTTGCCTTCCCTCTCACACATGTAACGCGCCGTAATATATTTCTTTTATCTCCTTTCCCCTATCCCAAATGTTACATAACATCCAAGTGACCATCCATTAATAAAGTCTAGTATCAAAAAACCTAATAAAATCCCTCGTAAAACAAATGAAAAGAGTTATCAACTAGGGAGATTTTAATTACTTAGTATTTTATTTAAATAAAAAAGCCAATATTACATAACACGTTGTTGGACCCCTACCTTCCGCATTGTAATTACAAGACTGTTTTTTTGTGGTACCTGATAAAGAGAAATTTCGTATTTTTTTAAGGTTGGTCCTTTGTTCCTTTAGGCAAAAAAAGTTGAATAAAAGTTATTGTGTGTACAAATGATCCCCCATTATGATGATTATAAGCGATAAATCACTCCATCTATGGGTGGCAATACTTACATCTTGGGAAGTGAGTAGATGTCCAGGTACATGGTCAAGTGTGAATTTGTGTTGTGCTGCTATCACACCAGCAGCAACGGGATCCTCACAGTGTCGCATGTCCTCCACTACCTGGATGTAGTCAAATATTTCCTTGGTACCTTCAGCTTCACCTAATAGATTTTTGGCACGTTTAAGGCCAAATATAGCATATTTTACCACTGCATCACGAGCTGTAAAAATAAATAATTATTAGTATTATATATAATGTCTTTATGAAGATATTATTTTTAAGATTAACTTAGTTCCAGACTCAAAAGAAACCTTTATTTATAAGTATTAATAACGATATACATATTTAATAGGCAGTTGAAATTGTACTTGAAATTGAGAGGCAGAATCATGAAATATAACCATTTAAGTGATTATTAATTAGAATATAGTTGTATTCTTAAAAAAATATAAAATAAAATAATGTGTCAATTAAAACATTTGTGTACCAATTACAAAAATAAACATAAAACATAAAAATGTGTTAAATGTCATTTTGCTAATAATTTCTAAGTAAAACTTCTACAGCATTAATTCATACTATAAGCAAATAAAATAACATACATTTTAGTTATAAGACAAATGAGTCTAATAAAACATTGTTCACTTTTATAATTAGGCATATTTCTGTTAGCAATTAGTATAAGAGAATTAATATATTTACCATGGTCACCATCAGGTATTTTTACATGAGATTTTCGTAGAAGTGTTTTATGGGAGCGACCATGACGAGCTCGTACCCTTGTCATTTCTTTAGCCAATTCCATGGGTTCCTTACTAAGATACCAATCTTTTACATTTTTGCACCATCCTCGGCCATTACCTATGAAATTTATATGAATATGATAGGATAAATATAAGCTAATACAATCAGCTATGCTCAAGACTTCACTTGCATGAATTTGATGTTTAAATTGATAGTGATAAATATTGAACTATAACTTTTTCTATTATAGAAACTTTGTGTCTTATGATTAGTTTAACTGAACATATATAGTAGCATTGTTTAAAGGATTGAATCTTCAAAGTCACAGAATAAATTCCTATGACATAAGGCACAATATACTATAGCATTATAGGCATTATAAGAGTGTAATTAAATTCATATTGATATTTTATATTCTGGCAATACAGTGCCATAATTACATTCATATATTATTAAACTGTATTTAATTAAATATTACCTGTTTTCAAAAACCGAGTAAACTTGTTGAAAAGCATCAAATGTTCAGGGGTACTGCATACTTCACTTGCTGCTTTGTATGCAGCTTCCCTTACAGGTGGTGAGCCAAGCAGTAAGCACTTACTTAAAGCAAAGGCAATAGTTTCAAAACGGGTGTACCACCCATCTTTGTATGTCTAGAAAAAAAAGAAAATAAAACTACAAACATTGATAAATTACAATAGTTTAAAAGCACCTATTCATGCCTCTGTTTTTTTTTCTTATGATACTGTTTCCTTGGTACATTCTACATATTTCATAACTGTAACTATAACTGTAGGCTTTAATATATTGGCCTAACAATCATTCTCACATAAATCTAATAAATTATCAATTTCCTTATTCATATCCACACTTTTTCAATATTCTTAATTTATAGGGTAACCAACATAAGGTACAGGGGAAAAGGTACTATTAGTAATGTGGTTTAACAGCTTCAATGCTAGATATAAGTTTACCACTGTGCAGTTTCCCCCGGAAACCATTGTAGTTATTTGTTATGGAATTCATAACAATGGTTTAACTGATCTGTAATCTATTTTCAGCCACCCCATTATTTTTCACTATTGCTTCATTAGCATATACTGATAGTGCATGCAGGGTTACCATTCCATTTTCAACCAACATAAAAAAAGAGAAATATAAGATACATATACAGTGGATTTTATTTATTACGACCTTGGTTGTAGAAACCATTTGCCTATAGCGACATTAAATCTTATGTGGCTATAGCAACTTTGGATGTAACGCTGAGTTCGGGTGTAACAACTGTTTTTAAAGAATAATTTGTAACAAATTCCTAGAAATCCCATGCAGATATTGCGACCCAAGTTGGCTGCTAAAGAGACAACAAGATTTCTTTTTTTCACAACCTTTTGTTTACATCTACACAGATGGTCAGCAAGTATGGAGACCTTTACCTATTGTTTATAGATATCAGCTAAATAGGTAGGAAAGCCTTTTTGCAGTTGAATTTATGGTTCAGTTATAAAGTGATATTCTGAGTAGCAACTGAGTTTAATAAACTTTTGAATAAGTATGACTGCCTCAATGCACATTCACTGTTAAAGAAAAGGTAGAAAGCATTTCAAAATTGAAAAACGGTGAAAACAATGCTGATTTATGCAAATAAAAAACTATACATGTGTATGTGTCTGTATCTCTTTACTTTTGCCTATAACGACTTCCAGATATAACAACGAAAATAGAGTGGTCCCTTCATCTTTGTTATACCCGAAATCCACTGTATCTAGTTCAATGTGGTGCTGCTTAATAGTTTGTATTCATACAAATTAATAACATAAAATTTGACTTTTTGAAAAAAAAAAACAGGTAAATGTCTTAGTCTTCTTTTTCAGCCCAAATTGCATTCCAAATAGGTAGTAAAATTGTAAATAAAGTATAAATTTATAAAAATATGAAATCATTAATTACTGTTACAGTGCAACAATAATTAGAGCAGAAATAATTATGTAGGCATTTCATAGTAAATAATTCTAATGCCTACCCTACAAATCATAGAATTTATATTACCTGCAAGATGACATTGACCACTTCAATATTATTAGCCCCATTTGCGAGTGCTTCATTAATCGCAATTAGTTTGTCTGCCTCAAAGTACTTATGAGACACCCAGCATCCAGGGAAATAACTGGGAGATTCATTGCCAGTATGGAGGAATCGTGTAATTCGGTTGCGCAAAGCCGGATCAAGAGACGGCGTTGACATCTTCGTCTATCGTATTAATATTCGCCAGCACTTCTCGAGACTTTGGTGATATGAAATATTAGTGTGTAAAATATACGCCAATATCATCCAGTCACGCTGTTAAGCATTCCACAACAACTTGAAACAGCCACTGTACTGAAAAAGGTAAACGCACTGCAATAGAAAGCTATTATTTTTTGTCGGTATTCGAGCGAAACATGTGCCACAATAAATTGAGGATGTGGCCAGAAAAAATTGACAATGGACGCTGGTAAATATAATTTATAGACAAGACGCAAATATATTTAACAAAGATAACATACAGCACGTTTTAACGTGATATATTTTCGAATATTATATAAGAAAAATGTGATTTGAAACGAAATTCACGCAAAAATACAACAATAAAAATAAAATTCAGTACCTACCTAGTCTTCTCAATTTCAATTGACAGTGATTGACAGATTATTATTATATGAGTGTTGCCGTTCGTGTTGTCTATAGTTACGTAGTTACAAAAAAAAAGACAATAAAATTTGCGGGGTGAATAGAAAAATCTAGAAAAATTTTAAGGTCTTTTTTCAAGGTATAAATGATATCAAAGTAAACATGTTTATTTCTTAAAGCAATAATTATTAAATGCTGAATCTATTTCAATGATATATGAAAACGTATTTTGAAAGTTATGGTACGAAAGTATAGTTTTCAAGTGCTTTTACATTTTATATATTTCAGCAGCTGCAGTTTATTTTTGCAGTGGTTTTATTTCGAAGTGTTTAAGTAATATATTTTTGTTTCTGAATATATAAAAAAAAAATAGGTTGTAATTATTATTTAAAATAGGAAATAAATTTATAATTGATATCGTTATGTAGATATTGTCTATACAAACGACACAAACGATTCACAAAAAACAGATCAACGTTTTTTTTTTTTTTTTTTCTTTTTTTGTGGCGTTCACCCCGATATTAGGGTATTTTGCCAAGGACAAAACGGGGAAACGATAATAGTAATAAAAATACCTAACACAAACGAATTTAGAAAGGATAAGGATTAGGTCTAGGATATTTATAGGATATGAAAGATATACTTGTACATATGAGAATATACTTATAAATATATAGGAAAAGCAATTGATGCAACTATAAATGTATTCATGTAATATAACTAAATCTTAATATTGTTATCATATATATATGAAGATAGTATTTTATAGATAATAGGATCATTGGAAGAAAGTAGAGTAAGAATAGAAGTTGGGAATGGAACACGGATGGATCGGAGATGATTAAAAAGGGAGGTGTGGTCAAATTTAGAACATGAGAAGAATATATGATTCAAGTCCGCCACTTCAGCACCGCAATTACACGACGAACTTTGTACAATACCAAGCTTGTATAAATGAGAAGGTGTGCATACGTGACCTAGACGCATACGAGTTATAATAGTTGTTGCGGTCTTTCCAAGCTTTAATTTACAAAACCATGGTTTGAAAGGAATATCGGGTTGTATAAGGCGATAAAATCTTCCTTTTATTGTACTTGTTTTTTCCCAATATTCCTTCCAGGCATACCTTAAATATATTTTTGGGAGACAAGCTAGGTCACTACAGTAATTATGATACATATCACCACAAGTTACAGCCTCTCTTGCAATAAGGTCAGCTTTGTCATTGCCGCTAATACCACTGTGTCCTGGTAACCAGGTAAAAGAAACGGAATAACCTCTCAACATGCAAAGATAAAGACTTTGTCTTATGTCACAAATTGAACGGTGTGGACTGCCGTTCGGTGAGCGTGGACTGTAGGGGCGTTGGTTCAGGCTGGAGTGAAACACAGGGATTACTATTCTGAAGCCTCCGGTACCGTCTGAAGAGAGTATTTTTTCTTCTTGTCCTATTTCTTCTCGAGTGTAGTGTGTCGCTGCCCGGAAGCGAATGCCGCTCGACGGGAGGCGGCCTATCTTTATACCCGCCCGCTCGCACGATAACGTTTCCAACTCGCGATAGCGATCTGTGCGAGCGGGACGGGGCGAAAATGAACGAGACGCGTGTCTCTTCAGATCGGTACTCTATAGCGTCTATTTATTTATTTACAATTTCTTAATTCTATTTATTGTTACAATTTCTATTCGTAGGTAATAATGACAACACGCAAAGGAATACTTTATTTAACTTACACTATCTTAAATCTATGTAAATCTATATAAAATAACAGAATACAGAAACGATTAACTAGGACTTAACAACTATAAATTACGATTACATATATACAAATAATGTCGCGAACATAATCTCCCGCCGCAGCTCTCGTAGCTGGAGTTAACTCGTGTTCGCGTCGCTCGATGTCGATGTGGGCAGTATGATCAGCTTCTTAGTGGGTCGCCGTAGGATGCCCTTGTTCGTCCGCACGTCGACTGCTCGGATCTCGCCGTCTGGTCCAGGGTAGGTCGTCACCACCACGCCTCGCGGCCACGTGTTGCGAGGCAAGGTCCCATCAGCTATCAGGACCAGGTCGTCCATTTTGATGGCTCCGTGTGTAGCTCGGGGCTCCCGCCGGTGTTTAGGTACTCCTTCACCCACCGGTTCCAGAAGCAATCAGCTAGCCTCTGGCTGGCACGCCACTCCTTGTGTCCCGCCGCGTCGCTCTCTGTGAAGCTGCCTGGCAGTGGGACGCGCGATGGACCGCCCAATATGAAGTGATTGGGGGTTAGGGCGCTGTCGTCGTCTGCCGATGTTGACACGTGGGTTAGCGGTCGACTATTGAGGGTGTGCTCGACCTCGACCAGCAGAGTGTGGAGGACCTCTTCCTTGGGGGCCCGCTCGTTCAACGTAGCGGCTAGTGCGGTCTTCACGCTACGCACCAACCGTTCCCACGCACCTCCCATGAAGGGTGCGCTAAAATGTAGCGCCACCGGATGAAATGGACTGATGACTCTTCTTGGATGGCTTCCTCGGCTGCTTTCTTCAGTTCGACGTCAGCACCTTTGAGGTTGGTGCCTTGGTCGGACCATAGTTCAGTGGGACACCCTCTGCGGCTTATGAAGCGCCGCAGGGCCATTATGGCGGAGTCCGTGCTGAGGCTGCCGGCGATTTCTAGGTGGACAGCGCGCGTCGTTAGGCAGGTGAAGAGCACTCCGTACCGCTTCTGGTGAGTGCGGCCCACTGTCACGGTCATAAGTAGTCTAGGCCGGTGAACGTGAACGGTCGCTGATGATGCGCCAGCCTGCTCTGTGGATGGTTGCCCGTTGATGGCTGCGCCGGTCTTGCTCTTCGTAGGCGGCACAGCTGACACCTCTTCAGTTCACTGCGGACGGCGTGTCGTAGGCGCAACACCCACAAGTGTTGTCGCACCTCGTTCGTGGTGATCTCGAAGCCGCCGTGGTGAAGTTTCCGATGCACCCATGCGATGTATAGGCGCACCCAGGCGTGGTTTCCGTCGACGATGGGGGTTCTCGTTGCTCGGCTGACAGATCGGCGGCGGCTGCTATTCTCGATCGAAGTCGCAGAATGTCGTCGTTGTCTATGACGACTGACAGCTGTATGAGTCGACTGGATGAAGCTGTTTCCCTTGTTTCAATACTGCGATTTCGTCGCCGAACGCCTCTTGTTGTATCGCGCGAATCCATAGTCGTCGCGCGCGATCTAGGTAGTGTGTGTCTATGGGGATGAAACACACAGATGGACTATTGTTGTTCTTGATTTTCATCTTCGTCTTCTCTCTATCGACTTTCTTCGTGCGGGTCCAAGTGGGGTCGGCGCTCTCTTTCTTCTTGTTTCTCTTTCGGATGGCGGTGCAGCGTTGACTGGTCGGTCGCAGGAGGTCGATGAACTGCAACACTCGTGCTGAACTGCGAACAAGTTTCAACCAATTAGAAAAACGTGACGGATCGGGTAATGCTATAGACAACTGCGTCGCGTTCTGTAGCTTGTGTACGCGTTCTTCTCCCGTTTCCGCTTGACTATCGTCGCTCGTACTATCTTCACGCGGCCACTGCTCTTCGGGGAGGTACAGGAAGTCCGGCCCACGGAACCATCTATGCTGCGAGCCGAAGTCCGTCGGTGGGTCGCGTGTGGCGTCGTCTGCTACGTTGTGCCGCGTCGGTATCCATCTCCACTCGTTCGTCTTCGTTTCTTCGACGATTTCGGCGACTCTATGCGCGACGAACGGCTTGTATGCGCGAGGACCGGTGCGTAGCCATGCGAGCACGGTGCGTGAGTCCGACCAGTATACTCGGCGAGCGGGCTTCAGGTCGTGTTCTTCGACTGCCGTGCGCGATAGGCGACACCCGAGGACGGCCGCTTGCAGCTCCAGTCGCGGTATCGTGGTCACCTTGCTGAGTGGGGCCACTCGTCCCTTTGCCGCGATCAGCGACACGTGGACCTTGCCGGTCGCGCTTACGGCCCGCCAGTACGCGTCCGAGCTGGCGTCGACGAATGTATGCAGCTCCGCTGTATCGGCCGTGGCTACCTCCGGGTAGCACCGCGGCACCTCCAGCGCGGACAGCCGTCGCACGTGGTCCATCCAGCTCCGCCAGGCGTCCGCTTCCCGTGGTTGCAGCTCGGTGTCCCAGTCGATACCGGTACGCCACGTCTCCTGCAATATCTTCTTCGCCTGTATGGTGATGGGAGTGGCGAGGCCCAGTGGATCGAACAGTGACATGATCGCTCGTAGCGCTTCCCTCTTCGTCGGCGTCTGTTCCCCGCTGGCTATCTGTGGCGGAAGCTTGTGTCCGTTGAAGTTGAAGCCTAAGGTGTCTTCAGAAGGTCGCCATACCATCCCCAGTATCTTCTCCGCGTCGAGTTGTACCACGCTGTCCCCGCCGGTGTCGGAGAACGCGGCGCGCACTTGATGCGAGTTCGACGCCCACCGTTGGAGATAGTAGTTGGCTCGACCGTGGATCTGTGCGACCTGTCTTGAGACGCGTACGGCTTGCTCTTCCGTGTCGAAGCTGGCGAGGTAGTCGTCGACGTAGTGGTTCATGACCACCGCCGTTGCTGCCTCCGGGAACTCTTCCTTGTACTGTTCTGCGTTCTTGTTCTTGACGTAGATCGCTGTACATGACGATGTTGCGCCGAATATGACACTCTTCATCCTATATTCCACAGGTGGACCCTCTCGTCGATCTCCTCGCCACAGGAACCGTTGCATGTCCCTATCTTCTTCCCGTATGGTGACCCGCATGAACATGTCCTTTATGTCCGCCGTGACTGCCACCCGTCGTTGCCGGAACCGCATGAGGACCCCCGGTAGCGATTGAAGTAAGTCGGGGCCCGGCAGCAGCATGTCGTTCAAACTGATGCCCTTCGTCTTGGCTGCTGCGTCGTGCACGATCCGCAGTTTCCCCGGTTTCTGCGGGTTGATGACGGCGAAGTGTGGCAGGTACCACAC